TTGTCTGGGTTCGACTGTCTCATTGTCTGGGTTCGACTGTCTCATTGTCTGGGTTCGACTGTCTCATTGTCTGGGTTCTGACTGTCTCATTGTCTGGGTTCGACTGTCTCTGTCTCATTGTCTGGGTTCGACTGTCTCATTGTCTGGGTTCGACTGTCTCTGTCTCATTGTCTGGGTTCGACTGTCTCTGTCTCATTGTCTAGGTTCTACTGTTCTGTCTCATTCTCTGGGTTCGACTGTCTCATTGTCTGGGTCTGGTCTCGACTGTCTCATTCTCTGGGTTCGTCTGTCTCATTGTCTGGGTTCGACTGTCTCATTGTCTGGGTTCGACTGTCTCTGTCTCATTGTCTGGGTTCGACTGTCTCATTGTCTGGGTTCGACTGTCTCTGTCTCATTGTCTGGGTTCGACTGTCTCATTCTCTGGGTTCTACTGTCCCTGTCTCATTGTCTGGGTTCGACTGTCTCATTGTCTGGGTTCGACTGTCTCATTGTCTGGGTTCGACTGTCTCTGTCTCATTGTCTGGGTTCGACTGTCTCATTGTCTGGGTTCGACTGTCTCATTGTCTGGGTTCGACTGTCTCTGTCTCATTGTCTGGGTTCGACTGTCTCATTGTCTGGGTTCTACTGTCTCTGTCTCATTGTCTGGGTTCGACTGTCTCATTGTCTGGGTTCGACTGTCTCTGTCTCATTGTCTGGGTTCGACTGTCTCATTGTCTGGGTTCTATCTGTCTCATTGTCTGGGTTCGACTGTCTCATTGTCTGGGTTCGACTGGTTCTACTGTCTCTCTGTCTCATTGTCTGGGTTCGACTGTCTCATTGTCTTGGTTCGACTGTCTCTGTCTCTCATTGTCTCTGGGTTTGACAGTCTCATTGTCTTGGTTCGACTGTCTCATTGTCTGGGTTCGACTGTCTCATTGTCTGGGTTCGACTGTCTCTGTCTCATTGTCTGGGTTTGACTTTCTCACTTGTTAGAATTCGACTGTCTCACTTGTAGGTTCGATTGTCTCATTGTCTGGGTTCGACTGTCTCACTTGTCTGGGTTCGATTGTCTCATTGTCTGGATTCGATTGTCTCATTGTCTGGATTCGAATGTCTCATTGTCTGGGTTCGACTGTCTCACTTGTCAGGGTTCGACTGTCTCACTAGTCAGGGTTCGACTGCCTCACTTATTTGTTTGGGTTCGACTGTCTTACTTGTATGGGTTCGACTGTCCCATTTGTCAGGGTTCGATTGTCTCACTTGTCTAGGTTTGACTGTCTCACTTGCCTGGGTTCGACTGTCTCACTTGTCTCACTTGACTCAGTCACTCACTTGCCTGGCTGACCCATCTGCGTCTCTTACCGGTCTCATTCATTTCTCTCACTAACCTTTCTTGCTGTTCACCCGTCTCACTCACAAACCATGCTCGTCGGTCTCGCCAACCCAACTCAGCTTCTAAACCACCCTGTCGTGTGTCAGCTTGATGTAAGGCACCAATTCTCAGAGAGAATGCCCAATTACCTATTTCTTCTGTCGTTTTGATTTGTACTTGTTTAGCAGACGAATAAACATGAATATAAGTCAAATACGCATCCAGTACTACCAAGTAAACATGGTATAATTCGTAGAAATCAACTGGAAATCACTATTTTGTTTGTAACAATCAAAACATGTCTCACAATTTATTCATTCTTGGTGTCGCCAAAGCTGTTGTGTTTAAACAAATGGATACAATTAGTATGTTTACCATCATAGGCGTTTAAAATCACTTCCCATAGGTTGTACGTACATGAATGTAAAACCTATGAAAAAATGAAGGGATTATCATAATAAACAAAACAAATGTGACACTACGAAATATGTCGCCACAATAGCGGTAATCTACGTTACAGAACGTAAAATGCAGTGTAAAATGCATATATTGACAAACATTTGTTTTGAAAGCTCGCAAGTTTTTACTGGATACATTATATGTAGAAAAAGTGTCATCTTGGAACACATCGTACCATATAAAACCGTACACAAAGACGAACCCGGCCTATAAAAATAGTTGTGTTAAGCATGAAAGCTACGTTACCATTACTGTACGGAAACATGAATAACAGCTACCTATAAAAGTGATTAGAATGAATGCTTTGTGTTTTCATAGTGTAATAAAACCGAAAAGGGAGTGCAATATGCTTCCAGTCAAGATCATGGTAGTTTGCAAACGGTGAAAGTAATCTACGTTATGACTGACTGACTGACTGAGTTTGGTTTTACGCCGCTTTTAGCAATATTCCAGCAACATCACGGCGGGGGACACCAGAAATGGGCTTCACACATTGTACCCATGTGGGGATTCGAACCCGGGTCTTCGGCGTGACGAACCAACGCTTTAACCATTAGGCTACCCCACCGCCCTCTACGTTATGCAGCTACGTTACCACCTGATATGGAATCTTACAAAATATTACTGGAAATATAATAGAAGATTTCGCTTCGTTGCATAGTTAGAGAACTCAGGCCAATAAAATTGATAACCTACAACAGTTGCCACCGGTTGCTGTCACATGATCGCAGCACTTGAGTGACATTTCACGAAATTCAAATTTGGAAGGGAAACTTCATCTTTATTCGGGAAATTCCCCGCGAAACAGGTCGTTAATTTACTTCATAATAGGGATATGGTTTCACAATATTTCAAAACAATTGTTCTACTGTTGAGAAGTTCTTCGGTAGAAGCACTGGGAAATGATCGCTATATTTGGGTATCGTTAGCCATCATTTCAAAAGATTGACAAAAGTTGTATTTCGTGAAGCTTGCATCAATTCTGTTAATATCACATATATTTTTTAGACATATTGACATTGACCCTAAACGTATGAAATTTCGATCTCTTAAAAAAACTGCAACATATCTTTAACCTCAATTTTGTACTCGCTCCCCAAAGCATGGTAACGAAGATTGGAATGAATCAAGTAATACCTTCATAGCTATCACATGTTCCGGTAACTGTTATGAATATTTTATTTATTGCTAATCAAGTAGCATTAATGACTTTCATATATGGTAAGTTGTTGTAAAATCAGTCTATATGAGGACGATTATTACATCCAATGAATTAGTTTGTAAGGTAACGTAGATTACAGTTTGGTAACGTAGATTACCAAAGTATCATTGCTGAATTCTCACAGAATGGGCAAGACTCATGCCGAGATCCAGCGGGATTACGGACAAGGGAATAGGGAGAAAGAAGGAATGAATGTTATTCATGTGAACAAATGTTTTTTGTGCAAATCTGTAATCTACGTTACAAAGGCATTCATTCACAACCCGATCAATAATATTACCTTTTATAAATGCTGTGTATTGTCAGTGAAGTTCATGATATTACCTCTGAGATGTCGATTCTTTTTGTCGTCTTCTTTTGCATAAAGAACTGCATTTAACAGTATAACATAAAGTTATATTTTCAAGAGTTTTGACTTGATCAACTTTATTGTTATAATGCTAACAAACTCAATTGAGTGGAGAGGATGTTACATGTAATGTTGTTTCCTTAACGAACCACAACTATGGGATTAACGACTGATCTTTGTGAATGATATCTCCCTTCAATGTGTTATGCAGCCATCATAAAGAACAGTACCGTAGATTACAACGATCGTGCAGGGTGGTATTGTATGAGATGTGATGGAATTTTTACAAGCTCCCCTTGAGTGCTACAATGTGACACTTTCTTCAATAAAACAGCAACAATAGGTGACAGAAATATTGTCTTTAGTTTTTTACGATTTGTGTCTTTCAAATTGGGACATTCTCTGTGAGAATTGGTGAAGGGGGAATACCGAAGTGATGAAGGTGTCAGAGCTTAACTTTCGATCGCGAGCATGGCACTGACAAACCCAGAGTGAGTGAGTGAGTTGGGTTTTACGCCGCTGTTAGCAATATTCCAGCAATATCACGGCGGGGGACACCAGACATGACAAACCTAGACATATCACATACCAGTAAAATTGCTCTTTACATCCCGGTCATCTGTTATATAACTATATATCGTTTGGAATAACGAGGTTTGACTGTATATTGTTATCCCCATTGTGACCATCCACTCACCATCTATATCAGCAACCTAAAGTATGATTGGGGCACGGGGGTACACTGGAGGTTATTGTTTCACGCCGAAACACCGGGTTCGATTCCCCACGTGGGTACAAAGTGTAAAGCCCATTTCTGGTGTCCCCCGCCGTGATACTGCTGGGATTTTGCTGAAAGTGGCGTAAACTGAATTATTCATTAATCCTCATACAGCTGGACCTCGTTAAAACGGGTGGTCTTGATGACTTGTTGATTGTTTGTTGTTTAACGCCGCACTCAGCAACATTCCAGCTACAGACGGAGGTCTGTAAATAATCTAGCCTGGACCAGACAATCCAGTGACTGACATGATGAGTATCGATCAACGCAATAGGGAACCGATGACATGTGTCAACAAGATCAATATTGATAGCACGTGCGTATGAATACACAATGCCATTTAGAAAATAGTCAAATGTAACATATGTTATATTTGGGATTACACTCTCGTAGTAAAGTACATATTCTAGTACTTTTGTTAGGTTGAGTCCCATCTTGGATTCGAACCCACACCATCAGAGTCGGGCACCTAATCGCCAGCACACAAAGTCAGCCGCCTAACCCGCTCAGCATGTATGTACGTCTCTCTTTGTCTCGTGTTATGTACTTTCGGCTCTTTAATGTATTTAGTACCAATAAGAATATAATCTGCATATGTTTGTACTGAAGGTAAGACTTGACTAAATGCCTTGTCTATGAGCTAGGGTATTTTTGCTGAAGCGAGTGTTTTTCAAGTAGACACTGACATCTGTGACAGACAAAACGTTTCCTAATAACGTCAGTCCTTTCAGACTGTTACAGCGGCTGTTGTTGTATCTTCTGTCATCAAGCCTGCGGATTCTTTCGTAAGACACTAATCATAGCCGAGAATAGCAACCTGAAACCCTTGTCTCGTACACCACCGAGGTAATGGCACTGCACATGGGTTGAGGGCATGTCGGCGGCAACAACATCGTGTCTCAAATACCAGGTGGGTGTTGCCATTACCTTGTAATTCTTCACATGAATGAACATCACCGTCCCTATAAAGGCCGTATAGGACAGCCGTGCCCCCTTGTGCCTACAGTTATGTAGGCCTAAGTTTTGTTGTTTTTCTACTTGAGTATTGTAACATCTTACAGTGAACAGCTTTAGTCAGAACCCCGCTTAAACCCCCTATTCCGGACGATACTGTTTGAGGTGTAATGGGAAATATTTTTTTGAAAAGGACACAATCCGTTAATTCGTGAGTGGGTGAGTGAGTGGGATTGATTTGCGCCTCTTTTAGCAACATTGCAGCAACATTACGGCGGGGTACACACTAGGGAAGGGCTTCACACATTTAACTCTTGTGGGAATTGAAAAGTGGAGTTATACGTGATGATCGAACACTTAAACCCCTTGCTACCCCATCTCTTTTTGTACTACAAAATGTAGGGCAATCAACATCCTTGTGTAAAGTTGAAATAAACTACGAGAATATTTCGAGAATAGACCAGTGAAAATCCGGGTTCGAACTGGTCTTCATCTACCTAACTGGTCGTACCAGGTGCCTAACGAGATCGAGTGACGTCATCGCTGACTTGGTTGATGAACATCATGCTGTCCCATGTGCGTAGATCAGTGCTCTTGATGTCAATCACTCGGTTGTCTGGTCCACACTCGATTACGTACAGACCGTCGTCGAGCGTTAAGCAACATGAAATGTGTACCTATCAGCTATGATGAATTACTGTATATCTGTCCCCAGTGAATATATTCAGTGAAGTTCCAAGATCGGTTATTCTTATATTACGATCATATAGCTCGAATATTGGTGAGTGCGGCGTTAAACATTCTTTCACTTTTCTCAGAAATGAATATTGGTTGATCTGCTGAAACGGTATGACCATTGTTTGAAAACAAGACAAATGACGTCACACACTAATATGATTACGTCAAAACAACTATACAGTTTGTTTTCAGTGAAGTCTCTCGGTATGCTTTAACGTCAAACGCTTTGCAGTATTTCCAGTGTGTATTTGTCCGATGCTTGTCGTTGAATCCAATTGGCGTTGACCCTCGTCTGTCACGTGATTGTCTGGTCCAAACATATTTACCGACCATCGTCGTATAGCTTGAACTCTGCCGAGTGTGGAGTTGAATAACATGCTAAATTTGTATAAAGCTCTGGTTATTAGATTCATCCAAAGTCTCGGGGATTTATTCATTCGGAAACGATAACTGATAGCTCTTAGCTCTTGGGTATATCCTCAAGCACAGAAAACAGGGTCTCTTACTAAAAGAGAATGAAGTCATATATTGTTCTTGACGTCACAAATCGGTGGCTTTTCGTCATAAGAACACTGTAGGTTCGGTACATCATTCATTCAAAAGACAAATGAGTAGATCGATGCTCACTATGTCAATCACTTAATTATCTGTTCCAGACTTGATTATTTACAGACCACCGCCATATAGATGGAAAATAGCTGAGTGCGGCGTAAAACAACAAACAAACAAAAATATCATTCAAAAGAAACGCATAAGTCGTAAGTAAATCTTGGGACCTCGTTGGTGCAAATACGGAGTGTTGACTTCCAATGGGTGCGAGATACGAACAACAGAATACACGTCTATGTCTATTCAGGTCCCCAGTCCACAAAGTGATCCCGGCACTAAGGCCATCGTGAGAAAACTCTCAAACCTTCATTTAGTCCTAAAATGCGGTAGAGCTAAGATCGTTTTGTTTCCGTGGTGCATTTGTCCCTGTTGGCGTCTGATATGACAGTGATGCTTTATGAGGTCACAGGACAAATGACGTCACACTTTCATGTTGCTATGCGACACGACCCATTACTAACAGAGGTTTCACACAGCAAATGAATTCGAAATCTGATTACAGGGTTGGAATAGGATGCAGGAAAACATGTGTTTAAGTAGAACAGTCTGAAATATAATCGCCTGGGTTAGATTGCAACATTAAAATCTCACAGTATCGCTAATGCCACTGAAACATCGGGTGATTAGAAAACCGAACCTTCCCGTGGGACAAATGATAAATAGACCAACGAACTCGAAACAAGGAATTACTGATCAGCTGTCAGTCGCTCCAAAGGCTTGGACCATGCACTTGGAATTCTCTCAGGGCGGATATATCCGTAGTTTCTCGCCGCTCTTCCATTATCCTCCAAATATCACCCACTAACTAGACAAGCAAGCACGTGGTAGATAGGAGGCTGTTTTTGGTGCTGAGTTTATCATTTAGCTCATATGGTCGTTTTTAGATCACACAATTACTCCCGTAAATAGAAGCCTCCCAACACAGGATCTTAAAAGGCAGAGGCGTTACATCAATAAACATTATTGATGTCTTCTGTCGGGCAATGCTTTGTTCAAAACACTCTGAGTCAAGAACCTCATGGCATCAGCTGATGATAATTTTGTAATTTCATGAGGGATTTGTCGAAAATTCTTCATCAGCTCAAAGTTTTTGAGAAACCCATCTGACGAATATAAAATCAATAATAAACTGTAGTGACGTCACGCATGTTGTGATCATCTCCGGGGAAATGAAGGTATACACGTTTTCTTGAATGAAACAATGGTTTATCGATGTCGATATAGTTTATACAAATGTCATAGTGGACATTGCCCCGTGAAGATCCGGGTTAGAATTGGCCTTCAGCAACCCATGCTTGTCGTAAGAGGCGACTAACGGCATCGGGTGGTCAGACTCGCTGATTTGGTTGATACACGTCACCGTATCCCAATTGCGTAGATCGATGCTCATGTTGTGGATCACTGGATTGTCTGGTCCAGATTCAATTATTTACAGACCGCCGCCATATAGCTGTAATATTGCTGGGTTCGGCGTTAAACAACAAACCAACCAACCAACCATAGTGGACATTACAACAAATTGTAGTGTGCCAGGGTCTCCACGGCGGTTCTCCTTCCAGTAAGCTTTCATAACGTTTGTAATCGTATGGCAGATGCGTTTTTTAAGTGGATACTTTCTTTTGTCCGTCAGTTTATCTGAACTCAACGAAACTGTATGGCTGCAGATCCGTATGAAAATTTGTATGCCAGTTTACTCTTGTCAGATCAAAAACATTCATTACGTTGTTAGAGCGATGCCTTAATTATTTTCGGCGTGGTCACTTGAAATATTGAAAGAATGTTGACATAGATCTCTTCGACATTCTTCCGGATGAGGGGCGGTGTGGTAGCCTAGTGGTTAAAGCGTTGGCTCGTCACGCCGAAGACCCGGGTTCGATTCCCCACATGGGTACAATGTGTGAAGCCCATTTCTGGTGTCCCCCGCCGTGATGTTGCTGGAATATTGCTAAAAGCGGCGTAAAACCAAACTCAGTCAGTCAGTCAGTCTTCCGGATGAGTTTGATACACATTGTAATTTCCGAGAAAACTGTCTACATACTGAACATATTGGGAAATCTTTGAACTGTCATTGATTGTGCTACAAACGAGACCAAAGTCAGTGCCAAACATTATCCCAGGAATTAAGACGCATCAATATTGGGTTGTTTTTCTATTCTTTTTATATATTTACACATTACACTTCAAACATGTTTAACAATCTGTGAAGCCCATTTCTGGTGTCCCCCGCGTGATATTGCTAGAAAACTGCTAAAAGCGGCATAAAAATAAAATCACTCACTCAAACATGTTTCGGATTTTTTCAAATTTTGCTTCGACCCTATAGCTTGCAATATATTGTTCATAAAACAAGCATTGATAAAAAAATGTTTAAGTGCATGCACACCTTTGTTCGGCAGAAAAGGCGTCGTAGATACAGGTACTCTTACTTCACAGAGTATCGCCTGCCTGCAGTTACGATCTAACTTTTATCGTTGCGCAGCCCGCGGGTTCGATTACTTAGCTTTAATTGTGCGTCTTCCATTAAGGGTGTCCCTTGCGTGATAAGCTTGTAAAATTGCTAAAATGATTCTGAAACTCAACCCGCCCGGTCGGGCATGGTCACCTTGTCATGTTCATGCGATCTTCAGATAAATTGATTCACAATCTCACAAAGGTTTCTCGACTTTTGTTAAATAATGTCTTCATTTAGTGACGTTTTTTCCCCTTTTTTATATCTGTTTCAGCGTGCTCGCTTCAGCGTCGCGCCTGGAACTGCCATCTGTTCATCGTCCAGAAACATGGAATATCATTACACCATAACTCAGAGCAATAATGATATCAAAAAGACAGACAAAAGACCTCAGTTGCCTCCTGATACAAGCGTCTGCCACATTCAACGTTAGTGTGACCTCAGCACAACAAATGACCTTGAAATCCCCAGTGCCCCCCGTTTGATGTTTAAGCCTAGCGTTTCTTCCAGCGTGAAAAGACGCCGTCAAATTTGATAGCAGACGAACGGGATGCTCACACAGGCTTTGATCATCTGGTGTGAAACGAAGCAACGCTTGCGAGAGAATTAGCGACTGCCAGAAACGGATAGATCGTCTGGGGCCAAGATGGCGGCGACTTGATTTCCCTCAGTGTCAATTAGTCTTATCAGCATTGGTTCATTGTCGCGGGGTAAATTGGTACAACGTAATCGATATGAACACAATCCTGCACGTGGATGGTTGATACTCGTCTGTCTTCCTAGATTCCTCCTAAGCGTGGGTCAGCGTGTCCTGTTGCACCCCCGTGCACCACGGAATCAAAGAAACACGGCGTTACGCCGCTGAAAGGATAGTTGAGGAGTTTGATAAATACGGCCAATTAAATTTCGCCTTTCTGTAATCACTCCTTTACTGATGTATGGTGGGGGTGTTTGCGAGCACCGTTCCAGACAGGCATGTGTTTGAGAGATAGGCTTATCTCCCTTGGACATTTAGCATGAAACGAGTTATTCCTCTGAGGAATATTTGTTAACCGTTTTTATGGCCCTTCGTTCTAATCGTGCAGGCTGTTCAGAATCCCGTTGCCGTCAATGGTTATAACACACCGAGATATGAACTATTTGAATTTTCTCCAATAAATCTGAATAAAAGCAAATGCATGATTGCGGTTCGAAATTCAGTTCAAATTCGACTGACCCTCTCAGAAAATTAAGGGGACAATAAAACAAGGGCGGAATTGGTTCGTTCCTGTTGTGTTTTAATGTGGCTCTTTATAGCTGTGGAATACAAAGGGTGTCATATTCCTCCTTTTGTCACGGTCACCCGTGTCGTATAACTTGATCGTTTTCAGTTTGCTTAATATGAAAGAGCCGTCCTTTCAAAAACAGGGAGCATAAACATGCGCTTGTCTGACAGCTGATTGCACACTTGTGTACGACCTTTGTGAAAATGCATTTCATGTGAAAAGCGAGAAATTCGGGGAAAAAAAGTTTTCTCTCGCGAACAAGTCCCACGTTTCCTCGTCTGTCGAGCCGTATCTGAAGAAGACGGACAAACATGTCATAGTTATTTAACCATCTGGTTCTGATGAATGTTACTCCAACAAAATTAAAAGGATCTAAATCTGATTTCCAGGCAAGGAAAGATTTACGTCACTTGATCTTACATTTTAATTATTGACTTAAACTCCGAGGTGCCGTTGGACAAAACAACCTTAGTTCTATGACTATCGCAAGTCTGTGAGAAGGTAAAGGTGGAACCGTCATCTCAGAGCTAACATTGCTTTGTACAAAGGCAAACATATCACAGGATAAGTGAGTGAATTTTACGCTGCTCTTAGCAATATTCCAGCAATATCACGGCGGGGGACACCAGAAATGGGCTTCACACGTTGTATGCATGTGGGGAATCGAACCTGGGTCTTCGACGTGACGAGCGAACGCTTGAACCACGAGGCTACCCCACCGCCCCTATCACAGAATGAGCAGTGTGAGAACACAGAAACTGCCAAAAGCATGCCCTACTCTAAAGTACATGTACCCTCCCACATGTCCTCCAACTGAAGTGAGCTGACACGGCCACGCTTCCCGAAAAATGCAACCAGGTAATCTTACACACACGTGCATCACATACAAGACCGTATGTCCGACCCGCGCCTAATCTGCACTGTACTGGGCGTATCAAAGTCAAGAATCCTGCTGAGAAGCTCCTGAATCTAAGCCTTCAGACACACCTTCTGACCCATTGAGGTGTTTCACAAGATACTCCAACCTTCGCTGAATAGCAGCATCTATCAAAACCCACGGCGTTTGTACGCCGGATTAATCCCACGTGTAAGAGAGGGGCGAGCCAGGGATGTTCTCTTTGTGGGCGCTTCTTCCGCATTGCAATGATGTTGTAAGGTTAAGGTGTCCAGGGGCAAGAGAAGGTAGCGGCAGGTGTACTGGAGACCTTCCAGTGCGAGGATAGTGATAATAAACAGTACAATGCATGCGTTCTCACGCCAGCAAGAAACAACGGTGATGTAAAATGTTTAGAGAAGTGTAAGGTAATACTGCATGTGCTGGCGTTTGACTGTATTAACGCTATTGTTACGTAACAAGTAAATAACCTATCAGTCTGGAAGGTCAGAATAGACGTAAATCTTGACGCAGAACATCGTGACTGGCAAGGACGAACGTGTGATAGGGGATGTATTTTTTGTAAATATTTTCTTTAAACAGATTTTTTTAATATCAACATGCATACATCGTAATCTTCACCACGTTTGAAGGGAGTTTTTACAAAGGTCGCATATTTTCGGGCGCTTCTCAAAGCAAGCCTGTGTTCCTTCCAGGAAGAATGTCTCAAGTTCTTACTTGCTCTAAGAGTTTGACATCTTGTTTGTTGTTTAAGGCCGCGGTTAGATGTGCTCCAGCTACACCAGGACGGTCTGACCCAGGCTCTCGGGTTACGATGACACGCATTCAAATAACAGTCTGACCACCTGATCCCCTCAGTTGCCTCTAACGCCAAGCATGGGGTACTGGGGAGCGATTCAAACACGCAATCCCCATGGAGCCCATGCATATCTCGATGGGTACACAAAAACAGGTGACACACCCATAAGTAATCTCTGCTGAAAGAAATGTCGACTGTACAATTTCTACACCATGAACATGTGTTTATACTTCACAATCCAAGAGGTGTTCGCTGAAGGATGAATGTATCCTGCCCTACCCATGGCATCTGTTATATACAGATAGAAAAATAACACGGAAATGTGTGGTACGTGTCAAAATAGGGAATTGTATTGGACATAATTTTTGCTACTTATGCGACACAAATGGAAATATCCTCCACTTGTCCACTTTTTGAAAGCTTTACTGGGGCCTTGAATATTGAGTGATTGAGCATGATTTTAGCGATATTCCAGCAATATCATGGCCGGGGACACCAAAAATGGGCTTCACACATTGTACCCATGTGGGGAATCGAACCCGTGTGTTCAGCTTGACAAGCGAACGCATTAACCACTAGGCTACCCGACCGACCCTTGAATATTGTATCCTTGATAGAACAGCTTCTGAGCATGTGTCATGTGATGATCTTTGAAATTTAGCAAAACAGCATGCTCGGTTGTACAATAATGGACATCACACCCGTTTTGAGAATGGAACAAACGCTTTTACCTCAACCCCACAACTAAATCAACACGATAATAACTTCACTAGCACCGGGAGCGTTCTCGAACACGTTAAAGTAATGAATAATTATTTGTTGGATTTTTGTTGTTGAAAATGGTGATATATTGCGGCCTGCAGTATTATTAGATTTGTGAAATATATTTAGTGAGTATTTGTTTCAAGCAGGTTTTCAACATGTTATATCAGGGTTCACGAACATGTGCGTATGTGCCTACGTGAGCTTGTACTTGTTCGGACTTCTGCCGACCTTGTAGTGATATTCTGCTTTTAGTAATACTCCAGCAATATCACGGCGGGGGACACCGGAAATGGGCTTCACACATTGTTCCCATGTGTGGACTGACTGACTGAGTTTGGTTTTACGCCGCTTTCAGCAATATTCCAGCAACATCACGTCGGGGGCCACCAGAAACCCATGTGTGGAAACTAACTCGGGTCTTTGGCGTGACGAGTGAACGCTTTAACCACGAGGCTACCCCACCGCCACTATCACAGAATGAGCAGTGTGAGAACACAAAACTGCCCAAAGCATGCCTTACTCTAAAGTACATGTACCCTCCCATGTCCTCCAACTGAAGTGGGCTGACACGACCACGCTTCCCGACAAATGCAACTAGGTAATCTTACACACACATCAATGGATATTAACAAGAGGTCCAGCACAGACACAGTACACCGACATCTCGGTTTACCTCTAATGTCAAAGGGGGCGGTGGGGTAGCGTAGTGGTTAAAGCGTTCGTTCGTCTCGCCGAAGACCCGGGTTCGATTCCCCACATGGGTACATTATGTGAAGCCCATTTCTGATGTCCCCCGCCGTGATATAGCTGGAATATTGCTCAAAGCGGCGTAAAACTAAACTCACTCTAATGTCAAGGCAAGGTAACCTTGCCTGCTGTTTTGGTATTGCTGCTGGGGCTCGAACCACCATGCCCCAAACATGCCTTGTCACCATCAGACTAACAGCAGGGAGGAAAGGGATGCGACAAGGGTGATAACAGAGAATAACATGTGTTTGCCACCAATATGGCAATGTCACCCGCCGCTATTGAGGAATGAAATATTTATAACATATTTACTACCTTTTATGTTTTGGTCACATACAAGATGACGGAAATCACCCAATGTGGGCTGTCGACATAATTGAAGACATTGGGTGCAATGTTTTATGAGATATCGCGTTCACATAAGTTTGAAAAGTGGTCAAAGTGTAGTGGTGACCGTGGAGATAAGGCCAAGGTCACCCAAATCAACTGTTTTCTGCCGAATCCCCCAATGTAGGCTGTCACCAAATTTGAAGATTTTGGGCACAACAGTGCATGAGATATCTCGCTAACAAGAGTTTGAAAAGTGTTCAAAGTGTCGTGGTGAACTTGAAGATAAGGTCAAGGTCATCCAAATCGAGTGGTGTCTGCGAAATTCCCCAATGTAGGCTGTCACCAAATGTTGAAGACATTGGGTACAACAGTTCATGAGTTAACAAGAATCGGGACCTACGTACGTATGGTTGTACGGACGCTGTTAAATACATAATCCCCGTTCCGCGTTGCGGCTGGGACAAGAGTGGCTGTCCGCAAATTGGAGAGGCACAGCCAGAAATCAGACTGCCTCCACCAAGGATAGTTTGATTTATGATGAACTTGTGTGACAACACTACAGACAAACATATCCCCAAAATAATGAACCTTGCATGATTAATACCTAAACATATCCCGCATTACCTAGCTTTGGACAAGAATCCAATTACAAACTGCCTCCTACTTCAGCTACCCACAGATTTCTCCATCTCACTGACGTAAAGGTATTCCAGTAGTCCAATCTTCACCAAGGAAAACAGTAGACTTAGACTAACGCTTAGTCTCTGAATATATAAGTTTGATTGTAACAAATAAACCCATTTAAAATGAAAAGGAGCCCAAGGCAGACCAGAGATTCGGAACCTGGGGAAACTTGCTTCATTAGGGCTTTAACACTGCAGGGAGGGCCAGGCTGTAGGGAAAATACTATGGTTCAGGGACTGTGAGACAGTCTAGTGAAATGAAACAGAACAGGAACATGGTGATACAGCATTTATTGCATAATCATGTGCACTGCATCGTAAGCTCACCTTCAACACATCACAAAAATATTTTGATTCATTATACCCAAACATATAGAAGCACACCCAATTTACAACTGATGTACTCTATGTTTAGGTGTCACATGATTTCGGCCATTTTCATTGGAAAATCAGCAATACAAAAATAATTGAAAGGAGTCTCACATGCCACCATTCTCAATCATTCAAGGTAATGAACACCTGCTCCATTCATGGTATAGAACATATCACCCTGAAGGAGAGAGGATGAGGTGAGATTTGTCCAGGAATATGTCCTATATCATATACAACAGCATCACATGCTTGGGAGAATATATACTGCACAACAGAAGTTAAGGACTATTCTTCCATACATATATTCAATGTAGTAATATGAAAGAATCAACTGTTCTTTAACTTCTCTTGTGAAGCATAAATGATCACAAATTCTCAGATCACAGACACAATGACAAGTGTACCGATAGATTTCACACATATATTTGGCATCATTTTACAGTGATAAACCATCTTAAATTGTTTAAAGACAAACATTTTCCTTGTTAACATACATCCTGATGCCATAAGATTTTGTAGAAAATTGACCAATGTTGATTATTGCGTCCATGTCATAATCCCTGTGATCTCACCCTTTCTACTCTTTAAGCAGCCACCTCTATATATTGCTATCACAGTCCGCCAACCACCTTCAGTCACAACGCAGAGATCACATACTATCCCATCCCAACTAATCCAGGGTAAGCACAACTCAGCAGGTGTCAGCCTTTGAAAAATATTTTATATTACTAAATTTGATATTTCTCTTGGGAAAGTAACTGTTTGCTTTTCTTTTATGGAAATTTCAAGCTTTTGTACAATGTAATGTAGGGAAAGTGAATGAATGAGTTTGGTTTTTATGCCGCTTTTAGCAATCTTCCAGCAATATCACGACAGGGGACACCAGAAATGCGCTTTACACATTGTACCTGTGTGAGGCATCGAACCCGGGTCCTTGGTGTGATGAGCGAACGCTTTAACCACTGGGCTACCCCACCACCCCTATTGTAGGATGAATAGGAAATGGGTAGACTGGTGTGGTATGTCCTGAATAAGATAGTAAAGTAAGAGATATACAATTACAGCTTTGACATATGAAATGAACGCTTTAAACGAATAAGGAACACCCATTTTTGAATCGCAAAATTTAGAATATTTACAACAACAACACAAAAGGGTATGCTCAGCCCTTTAACTTACAACTAAAACTATATCAGTTTTTTACATAAACACCAAATGAGTGAGTTTAGCATTACACCACTTCCAGCAATATCACAGGACACCAGAAATGGGCTTCATACATTGTACTCATGTTGGGAATTGAACTCTGGTCTTCAGCAAACACTTTAACCACTAGGCTACACCACCAACAAATGAACAGTTAAAGTCTGAATATGAAACCCCCTGGATTAGTAAGGATGGTCTACACTGGCTCAATAAATAGTTTCATATATCTTGCATTCACAGCCACCTGGCCATACAACACCCATTGTTAGAGGCTGTTGTCCAGTGATAAACAGAAGAGGCTGGAACAGAAACATTTGGCAGACAGTAGTTCCTGGCCACATGGACACTGGACATGATGGTTTCAGCCTTGATGAGCCTGCCTCTTCAATGAGTGTTATACTACCAAGTACATATATCACAATATCACATGCAGGTAATATACAAACGTATCCATGTTTCAATCAGTGTTGTATAAACAATGTGATAACATGTTCCATTCACAAACAAAGCTGGATACAATTTAAACAAATACAATTAGTTCAATACAGAGAGATGAATCACTTGTATCCACCCCCAGAAGATCATCCATGTATTCACAAAACTTACTCAGAAGTTTGTATTTCATGACTCAAATTGCATCATAATTTTTACCGAGACTATTTGTCCGTGATATGAAATTGTAGTGTCTGCTCACCACTATTCTGTAATGATCAACAAAACTAGAATCTTTTATGTTTTATACCTCCTGTTACAAAACAATTAAAATTGATTATAAATCATTACCTTAGAGATCAAGGGTATATTGAAAGACAGTATACAGAAAATGAAAACTAGGTTATAAGTATAGATACAGCAAAATCTGACTATTCATTTCCACTCCGAAGTTCACAAATATTGGGGAAATGACACCCATATTTCACTTTCAACACCAAATGTAACTATATTTCGTAAATAATTATGTTTTATGAATAACTTCTTTTTCTGCTGAATGTGATATTACCAATAAAGTGTATGACAACTATCAAACAATTTATTTGTTAATCTATGGAACTTCTGTCATTCAAAGAGACCTAACCACAGAAATACACGGCATTCTTTAACGTTTTTTGAGTGGTAAAAATTTAAGAATATTTTTTTTAAAAAGTCAGTAATTTTACTCTCACCTGACAGAAATTTGTCCAAGACTTTATACACTGAGTCTTTTCCAATACACTGAAATTACAACCCATGAACCACGGACAGTGAAGCATTTAACATAAACGAGACCCAGAAAAGGATCCGGGTATAACTTCACTTTCAACTGGTTTACGGTTTTTAACACTGCTGCAATACTCAAATACATGAGCTCCCTGTCCCTAAATGCTTTCTGGTATGTGTTATGCTGAAAATACAATATCAAACCAATAGTATGGCTATACGTCAATATCAGGCGTAAGATACCCCAGATTGGCTTCACACATTGTAGCCATGTGGGAAATCTAAACCTCTATGGTTATATGTACAGGATAAACAAGGAATTCAAGATCTAATATCAATGTACAGAAATGCATAATGTTGTCGGAGGTCATTCTGTCATGTTAATTTCTGGCCCAAACAGAACGTGTTCATAATTTGAGAGAGAGAGAGGAAGAGGGAGAGGAGAAAGAGAAGGGAGGAGATAAAAAGAGAAGGGAGGAGATAAAAAGAGAAGGGAGGAGATAAAAAGAGGAGGAGAGGGGAGAGAGGGAAGGGGGAAGGAGGAAAAGAAAGAGAGAGGAGGGAGGGAGGAAAGAAGAGCGGAAAAAGGAGAGAGAGGGGAGAAGAAAGAGGAGGGGAGAAAAAAGAAATTAAAGGAGAGAGAGAGATATGATGATGATTTTAGGGGGTTAATGATTTTGTATATGATATGCAAAGGGGGTCACTTACTTTGTATGTAAATTTTAGGGGGGGTTCATTCGCATTGTACCTGCTTCTGCATAAAAATCATCACACACCCCCTTGCCATAAATTATGAACAGTCCCTTATGTTTTAAAGTTTAAAAAGGATTCTTCTGATATTTCATAATTGGTTGTACATGTTGAATGCTGTCCTGCTACTATTTCATTCCCAAGCTTAGTCCAGTAAATAATTCCTTGTGTGTTTCATTTGCTTCTTGGAGTTGATTTGGCCAATTTTCCATTTTCAGAAAACCTTGAATTTTAGCCAATATCTGAAAAAGCATATTCACAATCAAATACAGCATTTAAATTATGAACTATCTTAAACACTTAACACAAAGTACCCAGAGCCTGACCCCAGAAGGATATACAAAATAAAACAAGGTCATGGAAGAGAACACTGTATATTAATTACAACGATCTCAATTCAGTTGGGATTTTGTCAGAAACTGCATTGGTGAAATCAATGATTCAAAATATACCTGTGTCAACCAGTGAGCAAACAGTAATTGCGTAAATAATGCAGGGTGTAAGGTAGGAAGACAGTAGCACCATATCCACCGAGAAAACCCTGCCCCGACGTGCATTGTCTGTGGTAACAGCTATCTGACCACCCCCTTTCTCCGCCAGTGTGGCGATACAATGGTGAGTCAGGCATCGTCTACACATGTTAAGTGCTGATACATATTTCTATTGATCTGAGGTAATTTCATACAGATTCAGCACCCTCAGTATTCAAATCCAGCAGCCTTATAGTATAACACTGGCAGTTATAATTAGGGCGATGGAGCAGATGATATAGAATCTTCAATAATACTACCATACATTAAACACACACACAATATTAAGCTACACAATTCACAGTTACTATTGGGCACTATTTAAAACATGCAAAGCAAAACACAAGATATAATATTGACAATACCAATTCGATGTTCATTTTACGTTTAAACATACCATGTAACCATAAGGCTACATTCAATCATAACATCAGACAACCTAATTTCTTGAAGTTTTGCAAAATGAAGGTTTGTCCATGATAAATTCAATTTCATTGCATTTCCACCTTAAGCCAGAACATTTTTATTTCTTGTTTTACGGATCTGCTGGTCATATTCTTTTCAAGAATAAGAAAAAAAATTAACATTAATTTTCCCCGCTGAAAAAATTAAATCCTCATGTTTTTATTGGCCCAAAGTGCCAAAACACTTTTTTTTATTGTTTTTTGCTCCATACACACTTAATACATTGCCAAAAATAAATACTTTTAGTATTTAAAAAGAATATTCCTTTGACTGGTGATTTTTATTTTTCCCTCCTGTTTTTAGTTTTTCTGAGGACAAAAATCCGTAAAACAAGAAATAAAATTGGTCTCGCCTTACAGTAAATACTACAGGTATGCACTTATAGTTTTAGAAATCAACATGCAAAATTGAAATTATTTTGATGATGCATGACTGTAACGTAATGTGGATATCCACCATTCAAGCACATACAAAGCCCTTGTTCTTCTACAAGACCACACCTGCTCTCTTCACAAGGATGTGAACGTATTTCTCAGCAACAGGGGTACACATTTGTTAAAGCACACATAATTGAGATTCTTCAGCATGTCATATTAGTCCACACCATCATTTCTACATACATGTATACATGGAATGTGTTCAGTATCGCGGCTTACAATAAACATCAGATCAGCAAGAACAGAACTACCGCACACTTTAAATGTCAGGGAAATGAGACAGTGTTTGAAATAAGCGTGTACAACGCAATGTGATATAGTCAGACTTTACATCATCTTCTAGGAAGTAAGGCACATACAGTATCAGGTAGCAATGGTAGTATGTTAGTAATGCTGATGATAACAAGATATCAGGTAGCGTCATTGGTATTTTAGTCATGATGTAGCATGTTTAAGAATTTACATTATGAAAAAAGAGTGAGTGAGTGTGTGAGTTTAAGCTATCCATGGCATGACAAGCAAGTAGACTGAAATATGCACCGAATGTGGAGCATGTATTGGTTACGCATGCCGGTGTTACCTTGTGTTTGGCAGTGAATACTCGATATGTCACTGACAATATCAGCCACTGGAGACAAAAATCGATACTCATAAATCACACAAAACATGATAACATCGCAACATGATTCATGACACAATCCAAACAAACTTTCATGCATGTATATTGATTTGAATCCTAAGTTTGGAGGAAAATTGAAGATTGTTTTCTAGCAGCATACTGTAGATAACCAAGATGAAGGAAATGTATTGACGGACTTCCTTCACATACAGGGATGACAACAGGAAAATCTATTTTCAGCTGAAAACGTAATATTGTGTCATCAAAGTGAGGGTTTCTCAATGGATTTAGACGATTCACAATTAAACAATTTGAAATAAAATCAGCGGAAATCCGCAGATCAGTGGAAAATTGCCATCCCTGCACTTCTCTATTGACACTCAGCACTGCAAGAACACCGACCTGACCTTGCACGTCATACATAGCACAATGAGAAACAAATAATCAACACCAAATTAAGTACATGTACACAGCAGTAAATGAGTGGTAAAACAATGAATAAATGAACAGACTAACGAACTAATGAAGAAAGAAATACCTATCGAGTCCACCCTTCATTTTTCACTAAGTTTATGTAGTGACCAGTCCAGTTCTTACATCAGCGAAATGCACGGATAATTCCCTATGGTATTTATCAATGATTTACTTCTTTAAGCCACATCTCTCAGCTCTAGTTTCAATGAAGGCAGGGTGTATATTCATTTCAACTTACTGAACACTACCCTGATATGTTGCTTCTATTTGTAATAAAGAAATCCTTCATCCATACACCTTGTCCTTTAGTTCTCTAACTTCTATATGCCTCTCCAAGAAGTCATTTCAGCTTGTTTGTTCTGATGAAGTTTAAATCCTTAAGCGAACCAGTCTTCACTTGAAAGATCTGTAGAATCGTTCCTGTCTACACTTAACCACACACTCATACCAGAGACCTGTGGGTAAATAAGTCAGCATGCCAATGCCACACTATACAATTATCCAAATGTCTTATTAAAATAAAAGACTAAATGACACCCAACTAAACATCAAACAATACATCTTTATACAGAATTATCCATTAATGATATTTTCTATCCATTCATCGGGGCAGTCCAACATTCAACAGTTTCTTTGGATCGCAACACTTTCAATGGAAGTACACAATTATTTAACAATATTTCGTTGGCAGTATCTTTGGTTACCATTCGTTATGCACCATGTGAGCATTTATGCACCATGTGAGCATGCATAATGCACCATCTAAGCATGCATAATGCACCATGTAAAGGAAAAGGTACAAAATATATAAAGAATCATAACTTTGTTCAAAACGTGAACACTTTTTGACAATACCAACTTAAAGCCGGGTACAAACCGTTCTGGTGCAACATAAAATACAGCACCAACACGATTCTTGCACAAAGGCTTTACAGTTGACAAAGTCTCATTTTAAGAAGATAATTCTCACACCACTCTTGTTTTATCTGTAAATCACAATATTTTGAGCACTCTCATACACCGAATGTTGAGAATCGGTGAGTATTTCATAACGGCAGTGGGTACAGTCAGATGATGTAATACACATAATAAATGCTTAAAATCAAGCATGGTCTGTTTTGGCCGTTCTTCATTGTCTCAGTTGCTGTGTCCCTTGAGCTGCGCGCTGACGCTGTAACCCAGATCGATGCGGAATACAAGCACACCGTCAAAGGAGCCGCGGAGAGTTGGTTTAAACTCAACAGGATACTTCAGCATCTTTCTAGCACTGGAACAGAATTTCACACGTAATAATCAGTGAAGTGTGTTTATTCGTATTTTAAAATGAAATATTGGCAGGGTAGTCTGGTGTTCCTAGTAGACAGACACATCTGTGTCAACAAGACTTAATTATGATGACAGAGTAAAATTAGTCTGGCTCGACTGATTAAATTAACTGATTAGTAAGCCAGACAGTCTGGTTACAATTAGGTGTGCTGCAATTTAAAACGTCCTAATATAAACTCACATGACTGGATCTTGTCTCATTAATGTCATAGTTCTTTGTGAGTGAGTGAGTGGGTGTCAATAGGGTTTAACGCCATACTTAGCAACTGTACACAATCAGGGATGTCACCATATATTGTAACATTAATAAATGTTAAATCTCGAAGCGGTATCAACACAAAAGAATGAATATCAATATGTTGTTAATAATTCACTGCCACAAAAACAGTTACAATTGTTATTGTTACCATGGTAATGACGGACAATAAGAAGGCAGAACATGCAATATTTAATTGATGAGCATAGTTCATATTCACCATTAAGTTGATTAATTGCACGTCTGTCAATAATCTTTTATCAAAACACATACAGATAAAACTTTTATGGTAACAATAGACAAATGAACAGATCATTATACTCCTGAGTCGATATACTGATATGCATCAATGAAAGGCATTTTCTTTTTAAATTCATGCTTGTAAATATGACTTGAACCAGGACAGATGGAGCTGGACCCTGGGACTAACATAAATATTGCACTGATTGGAAACAATTCAGTATTCACCCAAATGCGAAGTATAACATGAACGACACAACTAATTCCTTTGTCACTTCCTAATACAAGCCATGAGTGACATATCCTGAACTGAATACAGAGGTTAGCGGTAAGAAGAAAATCTATCTAACAATACAGTATGAAAAGGTGTCTCAGATGGCCAGCAATGAACGTTAGGCTGATATACCTGAAATGGTGTTTTAAGTGACGTTGATAAATCAGAGCGAGGACAAAGATTGTGTTTCAGGCCACAGCAGTATTCCTGGTGTGTCTTTTGTTTGTTGTTTAACACTATACCAAGCGTCATTTCACTTATAAGACGGCAGTCTGTAAATAACCTGGACCAGACAATTCAGTCAATGACTGATATAAGCATCGATCTCCATCAGTGAGCCTGACCACCCAAACCTGTTAGGGTCGCCTTTCATGGCACAGGTCTCCAAATAAGGACAGTATCGGCGTATGTACGGACAAAAAATATACAAGATACGGTAGGCAAAAATTTGAAGAAAAATGTAGCAGATACGCAGCAATGGTGTACAGTCGATCATTTACAGACGTATATATCAAAAACATATCAATCTGATTTCAAGCAGTGTCCCATATTTGAATTTACATGATAACGACACATTAGGGCTTCCCTTGTCGTGTTTTGGAAATCCAGGTTGTTAAGGAAACCACATACTGCAGTGAATCATCTCGGTTAAATTTGATTGGTCTGGAGCCCTGCTGACAAGCCTGGATTGCTGCAGTTTCCTTGTGTATTGAAAAATACCCATATGTTTCAAGGTCATATGTTTGTGCTCTGTCACGACAGTGTTATGTGGCCCAAAAACTCATGCTGACGACCTGAATCAGAGCAGTCTGAGCAGTTTCTTATCACATGAACTGTCTCGATCATTATCAAAAAGAAACTGGAGAACTAATACATGTAGAAGCATACAATATTGTCATGGTACTTCCTTGGGTGCCATTGTACAACACAAACTTAGTGCTAAGACTACCTTAAGTCTGTGTTAAGGTATGGAGTTACAGTCACCTTAGTGCTAAGACTACCTTAAGTCTATGTTAAAATATGGAGTTACAGTCACCTTAGCACTAAGACTACCTTAAGTCTGTGTTAAGGTATGGAGTTACAGTCACCTTAGCGCTAAGACTACCTTAAGTCTGTGTTAAGGTATGGGAGGTACAGTCACCTTAGTTCTATGATCGCTCGGCACAAAGGCACCCTGGATTGTTTAAAAGAAAGTTTCAGCAAAACGTACAAACCAAAAGATGTTTGTTGCGTACACTGCACTCAGCAATATTTCAGCTGTACGTCAACGAACTGCAAATAATCCAGTCAGAAGCAGAATTCCAGTCGTCAATAACATGAGCAGCGATTCAGGGCATGAGGACAAAACCAAGTCACCAGTCGACAACATGACCCATTTAGTCACCTCATACAAACAAATCTTGCAGAGGAACCATTCTAACTGGGAATCCCCAACAAAAAGATCCAGAATAAATGGTGTGGCCCTATCACTGACTGACTGAGTTTGGTTTTACGCCGCTTTTAGCAATATTCCAGAAATGGGCTTCACACATTGTACCCATGTGGGGATTCGAACCCGGGTCTTCGGCGTGACGAGCCAACGCTTTAACCACTAGGCTACCCCAACGCCCCTGTGGCCCTATCAGTATTGGGTACAACAGACCAGCTCCTGTTCATACTCACCCAATAGTGAAGGTCTTGTGCTTGACATAGAATGGAGGCTGTGAAGGAATAACCTCAATCTGGAAATGGAGGTGACGACAATATGTAAATGATGGCTGATGGACTCAATCAAAGACAGGTGGCACTTTCAATCACACTATATTTTTCACCTGATTACTTCAATTTGATAAGCTCGATAAAAAATGACAAAAGCAAAAACTCAAAGACATTTCCAAGCTAATCATGAACTTCACTGCACTTTAAAGAATTGTTACACGCAATATCTTTTGACTCAAGACTGGTGATACCAAACATTGAACAACCCCATCAACTTACCTGATGGGCCTTCTCGGAGGTGTTCTGGAACTGTACTTTGACCGTGACTCTCTGCTCAGCATCACATTCCGCATGAACAACAGACTGTATCAACTGGATTGGTCTGTCACTGTTCCGCTTCACACTGGAGGCACATAAACACATGTCTTAAGCCCTTGAAAATATATTCATGTCAAACCCTTCTGCAACATTGCTCCAGGTTGCAGAATGAGCTATTATCCACTTGTACTATTGAAATACATCAATGATGTAGCATTGTTCCAGGAATAACTGGATTGTCTGGTCCAGACTCCATTCTTTGCAGACCGCAGCCATATAGCAGGAATATTGCTGAGTGCGACGTAAAACTCAACTCACTCACTCATTGTTCCAGGATGCAGAATGCAGACTCCCCTAGTAATGTTACATAGCATCAGCATTATTTCAGCCATATAGCGACATTTGCCTATAGAAAAAGCCATGGGGACCATGTGAACTTTCCCTCCAAGTTAGAGTGACCATAAAGATTACAGACGAGTCCAAAGATTTAGCCAAGGGGTTCCTTGTTGGTATGGTAATCCCAGTATTATGCGCCTGCAACTCACGTGAATGAACGGATGACAGCTTACAATGTCAACACAGTTACATTCTCCCCTTGAACGTACCTGTCTCTACTGGACCTCTTGCCCTTGTCTGAGGCACTACTGTGTCGGGCAGTACTGGTCGGCTTCTCTGGACGCACATCTTTGTCCACCTCGACACCCTGCAACATAATGACTCTAGTGCAGGGATATAACTAGGGGTAGACCACTGACTGTTCGTGCATCATCACTTTAGTTGTTAACAAAACAGCTGTGGCATAACAAAACAAACTGGCGTGAAGACAGTATTGAGTATTGACAAGCACCGATTAATCTGTGGAACTTTGTGGACAACCTACCTCTCCTGTGAGATGCACCTTGAAAGTGAGAGAACTTGCAGCGACAGATGACTTGATCTTGCATTTAACGTCCCAGTACTGTGTGAATGTGCCGCTAGACTGTGGGAAGAACACCACTGGCACCTGCAACATTTGTTAGTGGGTCAGTTTTCTCAGGGTTAATGAATGCAAGTACTTTTGCATTTCAAAAACTCCAGCAAAGGCCAGACTGCATATGGATTCACTGCAAAACTTTTAGAATTCTACTATCTTTGGGATGGCTTAACAATTGACAAACTGACTGGAGCTCATGGTAACTTGCATTTTTTACTATTTTCTTTTCTGAAGGTTTTCTTAGGGCTCTGGTTGGTAGAATACCAAACACCAACAAGAAGACAAAGTCATCAATATCCCCCGCAACGGCAAAATACTCTTTATGAATATGTCTACTAGTTATGATTATGCCAAATGTTTTGGAGTGTATACAGCAAAATGGAAGGAGAGTATTGAAAGGTTTTTAAGATCTGCTCCAGAGAGGAGCACTACCATCAAATTCAGTTGAAGCCTAACTTGGTGCCATGGAAGGATGACATCCTCATAGCCACAGCCTAAGTCACGTTTCCATGGAAACCAAGAAAAACTAAATTCATATTTGGGTCTAACCCCCAAAAGGCACATCTAGGGATCATGCTTGTACCAAGTCAGATGAAGCTAGCATGTATAGTTTGGGAGATCTGCTCCGGACAAGATGACATAATCATAGTCACAGCCTAAGTCATGTTTCCATGGAAACCGCAAAAAATAAAATTCGCATCTGGGTCTAACCCCTAAAAGGCACATCTAGGGATCATGGTTGACATGTGTACCACGTTTGGTTAAGCTATCACCAATAGTTTAGGAGATATGCTTCGGACAAAGTGTGACGGACGCACGGACGGACGGATGGACACACAGAACTCGTTTCTATATCCCCCGCAACTTCATTGTTGCGGGGGATAAAAACTATGAAATGTGGCTTAACCTGAAGGCAATGGCAGGATCCCAGCAGTAAACGATAGGTCACGTTGTTCTCATTCAGTTTACATATTTGGGGCTAAGCTGTCAATACAAGCACATGACCAGTGCATGTGTGGTACTTGGAAAAAGGCTATGGACAACCTACCTTGGCAGTTTCCCTGGGCTTGAGCTGCCCAGACTTCTCCGTGAACTGGAAGACAGCATAGGTGACACGGTACACGTCACTGCTGTGGTCAACTCCCTGTACAAAACACACAACAGTCCAACTATAACATGCAAGCCAAGCAAGAATTATGAGGGTCCGAGTTAGCTGGGTTTTATAACCTTTGCATGAGTGAGTTCCAGAAAGTGTAACGTTTAACCGTACTTCACTCATATCTCGATATTATCAGAGTAAAAGAGATAAGCTACAAGACTGGGCTATAATTAACTTGATTTGTTGACAATAAAACCTCGCAATAGTTGAATACACTTGCACAGAGCCACCTAGCACACTGATATCTCTGATAGTTTAACATAGACTCACATTAGTTATAGTGCCAAGATCGACTAGTGCCTGTGTACCCTGATGTTGTAAGACAGCAAGCTTAGAGACCAGGGTGCCGTTCCACTAACCGATCTTATCTAAGATCAATCTTAGCAAGTTACGCCAATTTTACAATCGTCTTAGCTAAAAGTTACACCCGTTCCACTAACCGATTTTAGGCCCATTGTAGCCGGTCCCGATCTTACGATCCGATCCAAGCTTAGATCGAGACTCTTTTGTGCATCAGATAGAGGAATGCGAGGCACGAGTTATCTCCCTTTGCATAGTCTAGCAAATGATGGAAGTAGTTTACGAACCAACTGAGTGAGTGAGTGAGTTTAGATTTACGCCGCACTCAGCAATAGTCCAGCTATATGGCGGCGGTCTGTAAATAATCTAACTAAGATGCATAGCTTTCACTAATATGAGCGTTCATGTTAGTTAACGCTATGTATCTTAGCTATAAATAATCGAGTCTGGACCAGACAATCCAGTGATCAACAGCATGAGCATCGATCTGCGCAGTTGGGAACCGATGACATGTGTCAACCAAGTCAGCGAGCCTGACCACCCGATCCCGTTAGTGGCCTCTTACGACAAGCATGGGTTACTGAAGTTCAATATTCTAACCCGGGCCTTCATTGGTATTTTTCCAACCAAGTGTAAACGTGGAGAAAAAGGCTGGAGCAAAATATTAGGGTAGTGAGCACCTTGGTTTCAGGTGCAAGCGCGTGTGAACGCTTTGGTATCAGGCATAATATAATAATAATAAATGCATATTTATAGTGCGCCTATTCCACATCCTGGGGCATGCTCAAAGCGCCATGTACAGATAATTTACACGAGAGCATTTACAGCCGAGATTGTAAGTAATAAACTGAGAACAGGTTTTAAGTCTGGACTTTAAAAATGTCAATTGTGTCAGAGCTTTTAATATGTGCCTGAATAACACGCGGTCTGCCTTTAGAATCCCCCACCAAATATGCGCAGTGAAATCAAACATATTTGTATCTTTTTGCTTCAGAACATTGTTCACTTCATGGCTGTCCCTATTCTTAACCATGACGTTGCAATATTGTTGTACAATACAAATGTGTTACACCGACACGCTCGGTTGTGTTCCCATGACGACAGTGGTCAGACTGGCCTGACATTTGTAAGGCTTCAGTGCAGTGTTTGTTTACATCACAGAAATATACAAATTCATTTCATGGGGGATTTTAGGGGACGCTCACGGTGAAATGCTCGCTCTTATTTTTCACATAGAATAGGAAAGCCACCATTTTGGTTTCTCTACGATTGATTTTAGCTATCCTAAGTTGGTCATGAGCAACTTAGACTTTGAATCTTAACTTTACGATTGACTTAGGTAAGATTGGTTAGTTGAACGGTATGCCGATCGTAACGTCACGCTAAGATTGGGATTTTATGGGTTTACTATTGGCGTAGGGCTAAGATCGGTTAGTGGAACGGCACCCTGGGCTTAGATTTTCGAAGCTCTCTTAGCGTTAAGATAGTTGTAAGTTAATGTTAACGTATGGCACTTCGACTAGTTTAGAGCTAAGATTGCTTTGAAAATCTAGGCCCAAGGTCCTGATCCACAAAGCGTTCGTAACGTTACCACCTATCGTAACCCAATGCTATATCATTGGCGTAAAATGACGTGGTGATACGAACGCTTTGTGGATAGGGTCCTAATTATCCCATCCTCTCCTACACTATAAGAATCAAGATTTTTGTTGAAAACCATTCCCTTAAGGGTACCATATATGGAACATTTTGCCATTGCTATGGTTACTGCAACATCATGAGGTTACCCACCTTGACGTAGGCCGGGGCAAACGAGGAAACATTCCAGGAGATGGGATCATTGGCAGTGTTGGTGAACTCCAACAAACTCTCTGGAAGACATAAAAATACAATGATGAAACACCATGTTGACTACAAAGGAATCTAAAAAGTAATCACCAATTCAATGTTTGAGTTTCTATGATAAAGGACAAGGAATGACGGGGAGACGTTTGGGCATACTGAGAATTGAAAATTTAAAGCAGGTGAAGTGAAATGGGTTGTAATGCTGCATTCAAGATTACTCCACATATCAGTGACACGTGTCTGTGATTGTCTACTTTCCAGTCGAATGCACATTTTCACATGTATACCCAAATCAGACACAGTATATTGGCTTCGAAATGATCAGTCTGTGTCCTCTTAAAGCAAAGCACCAGGCAGGGTTACAACATGTACCATTCTTACCACGACACGACACGGATTCAAACCAATCAGCTTATGCTAAATCACAGAGGGGTAACTTCTAAATTAACACAAGAGTCATCAGAAGATGACATATCCCCCCGGCCCCCACATCTTTGAAAGAACAAATCATCTGACAGTTAATTAAAGTCCAGCTTGATTTTACACTAAGTGCAAATCGTTTCCATGGAAATGATGAAAAATATAAATGACAAAAATCTGCAAATGGCAAAAGGCACCACTTCAAGATCTGCCTCACATAGCTGCCAAGTTTTACTGAAAGATATTAAGAAGTTTTTGAAACGAAACCCACCCCTCCCATTTAAGACTAAGTCTAAATCGTTTCCATGGAAACCTAGAAAAATAAAAAAGACAAAAATCTGTAAATAGCAAAAGGCACCACTTTGGGATCTGCCTCACATATCTGCCAAGTTTTGCTGAAAGATATTAAGAAGTTTTTGAGTTGTGCTCCGGAAACGAAACCCACCCCTCCCTTTTGAGCCTAAGTCCGAATCATTTCCATGGAAACCGGGGAAAATAAAAATGCCAAAAATCTGCAAATAGCAAAAGGCACCACTTAAGGTTCTGTTTGATATATCTACCAAGTTTGTTGAAAAATATTGAACGGTTCTTGAGTTATGCCTTGGAAACGACTGACTGAGTTTAGTTTTCGACGCTTTTAGCAATATTCGAGCAATATCACGGCGGGGGACACCAGAAATGGGCTTAACACAGCCTTGGAAACGAAGCCCACCCCTCCCATTTGAGACTAAGTCCGAATCGTTTCCATGGAAACCGGGAAAATATAAATGCCAAAAATCTGGAAATAGCAAAAGGCACCATTTAAGGTTCTGTTTGATATACAGTCAAATCCCGATGAGTCGAATGCCAGTGTCTCGAATATTATGCATAACACGAAGTACCTGTCGGTCCCGACCATTCCCTGCTATTTTTGTCATCATTTGATTTCCGGTTACACGAATTCGTCTCATAAATACACACGATGACTCGAAATGGAAATTTGGTCCCTTGAGATTCAAACAATAGTAATCTTGTATACATAAGCCGAAGTCAGTCAATGAGAAGTTAATTGGTGATCCAACTACATGTAACTGATCCAATTAACAAACCAGCGTGGCTCGCACCTTTCCGCTATTGTCGGGTGAGTTCAAAAGGCAGATTAGTGATTTTACGGAAACGGAAGAATTGGCACATGACATTGAGTTAACTCAATCAAATCGGTTATTACTATTCATGATCTGTATATCGGTTCCAGGTACAAACAACGAACATTTTTCCCACTTGGCAAGCGTCCGTGAATTTGTGGATAAATGTAAGGGAAATTCACAGAAACAAACAATAATGTCAGACTTTTTCCAGAAGTGAGTTCATCTTTTTGTATTAATAAGATTCAAGATGGCGGCATGTACAAGTATATCTATCGATTGCCGATAGATTTTGTTCATGGATTTTAAGAGGTAAATGTATTTTGTATTTTTATTGTGCTAGTATTGAAATGTGTTCTCATTTGTATAATGTTTGTTTCCATTATCCATTATTATCCATTATCTATGTCACTAATAGATATGATGTGCTGAATAAAGGAATTGTTCAATAATGAATCATCTTTTTTTTCTACCCTCATAGACATACCTATGTCTCGAATACATCGATAAGCCGAATCTTTTACTTGGTCCCCAGCGATTCGACTCATCGGGATTTGACTGTATCTACCAAGTTTTGTTGAAAAATATTTAACGGTTTTCGAGCTGTGCTCCGGAAACGAAGCCCACCCCTCCCTTTTGAGACTAAGTTCAATTTGTTTCCATGGCAACCAGGAAAAATAAAAATGCCAAAAATCTGCAAATAGCAAAAGGCACCACTTAAGGTTCTGTTTGACATATCTACCAATTTTTGTTGAAAAATATCGAACGGTCTTTGAGTTATGCTCCGGAAACAAAATGATTACGGACGGACGGATGGACGGACAGACAGACGAGGCGACGACTATATCCCCGCATTACATGCCGTGGGGATAATAAACCTGCTGTTATGACTTACAAGGCCCTTTCCCTATAGTATCTTGACAGCGCCACAGAGATGAAGCTGGACCCCACACAGCACTGTTTTTGTTCTTACCGCAGTGCTCCCCTATCCTGGTGTTGAGGAACTTGATCTGGGTGTTGGCCAACTTCACGTCGTTGCTGAGGTCAAGGGACATGTCGGGGATGATGATTGAATGCGTGGCTGACTGGTTGGTGAGAGGGACGAGGGACGTGCTGGACAGTGACACATCACTACAGCGGTCTAGGCTCACATCCGCACGGATCTGCAGCTTCAGTAACTGAAAAGGTAGTGATATATCTATAGTTCAATTCATTTACATTCATATTGGAATCCATTTCAATTATCTTGGAAGACTTTTCATTTTAACAGGCTGGCAGAATTTCAAAACCTCCCAAATAGTCAAAGGGAGATAACTCTGTGTGTGATCAATAATTGCAGAGGTAAAAGAACATGTATCAACCATTTTGCTCATTTCTTCCCAACCAGCTAGTGAGTAGGTGTTTTAGCCACTTTGAGCATGTGCCCATTTAGGGAATACACAGCAGGCCTGACAAACAGATACTCGAACGTCTAGGTTACCCATACTCCCAATGATTCTGCCATGATGACATGTGGGTGAGGAGATGCCATGGCATATGGACAACATACTGAGTTGGTGAGAAAACTAGAAACGTGGCTTGAAATAAACAATAATTAATAGGGCTGTAACGATACATCGAACTATCGATGGATTGCAATTGCTGAGTCTCCAATAGCAATTAATCGATGGCAGAAATGAAAAACTATCGATGCATCGATAGTATGTGTGACTACCGATAGTTTAGCAACTGACTTCCGTTGATAAATGCGCAGCACAAAATACAGAAACTATCAGATTCTTTCACTTTGACTTAGAGTTATCTGCCCCTGTTACCTCGAAAACAAACATGGCTGTTTACTTGATCTGGGTTTCAAGTTTGTCAGTTATCAAAAGTGACTGAAACTACTTCAACGTATATAAACTATACATTCATTTAGGAAATGACTTCAAATGAGACAATTCTAGGAGAAAAAAACTGTTGCAATAGAATTGCAATAGTTCGTCGCAATAGACTATCGCTATAGTTATTTATTTCCCCCTAAATAGTTACCCCTAATAATTAATATCACAAGTTGTCAGTCAATGATACTGCAAGATGTTCAGTGGAGTGACAACATTGCCAGCTCACCTTGTATTGGTTATCACAGTTGACCTGAATGGTTCCACCCCAGGGCAGCAGGTCCAGCCTGTCATGCAGAGACGAGAGTGGACTCACACGCAGCTCGGAGGTACTCCTGCAGGTACAAATGTATATAATTGCACAGTGTAGTTTATGGCTTATTGCTAAACGCTGAGCCCAGCAATATTCCAGCTACACGACAGTAGTCTGTAAATAATTGATAATGAAGCATATGACTTTATGGATAACAACTTCTCGTTTATTGCATAGAACGACATTTCAGTGTAGATTCTTACAATCTTATCAAGCTGATATAAGAATCTACTACTAAAACATCACTCTATGCAATAAACAAGAAGTTGTTATCCATGAAAGTCATATGCTTCAATATTGACTCCCCAACTTCAAGAATGCCAATAAATGTTTTTGTAAAGTAATTGAGTTTGAGCCAGATAATCCAGTGATTGACATCATGAGCATCAATCTATGAAAATGGAATCCAATTACATACATCAAACACTTATAACAAGCACATGGCACATGTTGCACGAGAATATTGTAAACTGCGCCATGTAATTTGAACCATGGGTCTCTGCACTCATTGCTGTAACTGTGTCAAATACAAATCATAAAATCACAACTGATGGAATAACAGTGTATACCGACACAGGAGGTGAGGTGAGGTGAAATTGGGTTTAACGTCGTGCTTGAGAATATTTCACTCATATGACGACATGCATGTGTGTGTATGTGTATGTGCGGCTGCTTGTACTAACCCAGACTTAAGCTGGTTTTATAGTGCTAGCCCACTGAGATACCATTCCACAGTGAAGCATGAATACCCCACTCAGACACATTATACTGACTCCGAGCTGACCAGTCCTTGTTGTACCCATTAATGCCGAGAGCCAGGCAGGGACCAACAAGTACCATATTTTAACGTCTTTTGGTATGACGCAGTCGGGGATCGAACCCGCGACCTTCTGCTCTTCGGGCAGACGCTAAAACCACTACACCACGGAGGCGGTCACCGACACACGAACCAGATGATGAACATATTAAACATTCCAACTTTCAAGGACCAAATTAGGGATATATTATGCCTCATTCTTCCAAGTGGGAGAAAGGATTTATCATTTACCTGGAGTTGACTGTTCCCTGTTTGGGAGAGACATGCACACAGTGGCCTGGCCAGCACAGGTCGAAGCTGGAAGGAAACAGTGACAGTAAGTTGGTTCAAACACTGTGTTCAACATTCAAATCACAGCATGTCTCCTAAATGTGGGAGGAAGGACTTATGTGATACAGCATAAAAACGTTTACAACTTTGACTAAGTTTTGGTATTGTGTTTGTGAACAGGAGCAATTACAACTGAGTCTGGGATTCAAAACCGTGGGCACTGGATGATGGCTCCTTTACAGACACAGCTCAGAATAGTGAAATTCAGTATCTTAGGTTGCTTTTTAACTTACTGTACTGTTACACTACACTGAACACCATCAATAGCTACAGTGACATTACTGTCAAGTCACACATAAACATTTTGGCCCAAACAAATCTTCAGTTGTACCAACCTGAAGTTATATCTACTTCAATTAAAAAAATTCTGCCAGTACTCATCCCTACATATTGAGAGCTCACAGGGAGATTACAGTTCTTAAAGAATTCACCAATACTTACTTCATCTTCCTTCTGGCAAAGTTGAGAATCTGGAAGGAACGAGATGGAATTTCCTCTCCACCTACAACACAGCAACATTTGAACTGAGAGTCTTTACTTTGTTTGATTAAAGACTATTATCCATACAAGTAATTGAAGAAGACAGTGGAAACTGTGAAGATGTGAATAGAGTGATGGCAGCTACAGTACAGGACTATGGCAATTATGTAACAGAGGTATGGCAGTCAAAGGAATTCTCGTCTCAGAACAAGCATGGCTGAAATCGGATCAGATTTCTATGGAAACATTTTAGAAACACAATTGCTGGTATTAGATTCACACAATTTCTAAACCATAATCCAAACTAACTAACTAAATAATCCAAACTAAATAAATAAATAAACTAAAAGTAGTATCAAAGGCTTAAAATACAGAGAAACCTTTATTAAGTGGCTTGTGAAGATCAAGATTTTAATAAGTCTTTAAACATATTTGGATCAATTACAAAAGAATATAGACTTGAAACCAGCGAAGCCAATTACAATGGTTTGCCTCCTCCCTAAAGTCGACATAGTCTGTAGGCTACACTTACGTGGAGGCAGGGTGAGTATCAGCTGATCGGGCTGCAGCTCCCAGTCCTCATCCTTCTCGGTGGACACAGGCTGGGTCTGACTGTGGTAAATCTTACTCACACCATACTTGGAGCCGTAGTCCCTGTATCAGTGTCACAATAGGTGAGAAACAGTCAATATTACCTGTACTGGTGTAATTTGAGGTGAGGTGAGGTGAAATTGGGTTTAACGTCGTGCTTGAGAATATTTTGCTCATATGATGATGTGCATGCGTGTGTATGTGCGGCTGCTTGTACTAGCCCAGACTGAAGCAGGTTTTATAGTGCAAGCCCACTGAGATACCATGCCGCAGTGAAGCATGAATACCCCACTCAGACACATTATACTGACTCCGAGCCGACCAGTCCTTGTTGTACCCATTAATGCCGAGCGCCAGGCCGGGACCAACAAGTACCATATTTTAACGTCTTTTGGTATGACGCGGTCAGGGTTCGAATCCGCGACCTTCTGCTCTCCGGGCGGACTGGTGTTGTTTGAGAGGTTTAGGACATGTCGTCCAATGTACAATCTTAAACATGACAAGTGTTTGCCATTGATATGGTAATGTCCCTCGTCACTAAAGAATGGAATATTTATAACATATTTACTACTTCTTATTTTTTGGTCACATACAAGATGCCTAAAATGACTGGTGTCTGCATAATCACACAATCTAGGCTGTCACCAAACCATGTCAACAAGAGTTTGAAAAGTGGTCAAAGTGCCGTGGTGACCTTGAAGATAAGGTCAGGGTCACCCAAATCAACTGGTGTCTGTATAACCCCCCAGTGTAGGCTGTCACCAAATTTGAAGACATTTTGGGTACAACAGTTCATGAGATATCGAATTAACAAGAGTTTCAACAGTGGTCAAAGTGTTGTGGTGACCTTGAAAATAAGGTCACGGTCACCAAAATCAAGTGTGTCTGGGTAATCCCCCAAAGTACCGGTAGGCTGTCACCAAATTTGAAGACATTGGGTACAACAGTTATCGTTAACAAGAATCGGGACGTACATACGTACGTACGGATGCCGGTGAATACATTGTGTTGTGGCACGCTAACAATCTAAAAGGTATACTGACACACTTTAAAAATGCATGACAGATAATGTCTTTTGGTGCTACTGTCATCATCCAGGAAGACCAAACAAGAACTGACTGTTTGTTGTTCAACGCTGATCTCAGCAATATTCCAGCTCCATGACAGCAGTCATAAATAAATAATCAAGTCTGGACCAGACAATCCAGTGATTGACATCAAGAACAGTGATCTACTCAAATGATGATATGATGACATGCATCACTCTTATCGAGCCTGACCATTAGTCGCCTCTTAGTAGTCGTACGATAAGCTGAAGGTCAATTCTAACACTGCTCTTCATGGGTCACAAGAACTGACCTGAGACTGATGGCCAAACTTATGTCAAATTACACGATTGTTAGTACAACCTTTCAAAATTGTAAACAAAAATAGATGAGGATTTTTAGTCACACAGTATGTAAACTCTTAGGAGACTGAACAACCCAAGACAGGAAGTAGTACCAATTACACTTGTCACTGAACATTTAAAGTCAAAGTAAGAATTTTGCATTATTTTTAACGAAACTGCAAAAAGGGATGGTGTACACTGTCCCATCTATTCAATGATAAATGTGATAGTCCACACAAAAAGTCACTAATTCAATTTTCCAAGTCTCGGACATGTGGACTCATTGTGAGACTGGTGAAAATATCCCAGCTGACTGACTCACCTGCTGGGTTCAATGTGTGGGGATTTGTCCGTGTTGGCCATGTGGACTCAATGTGAGACTAGTGTCGACTGACTCACCTGCTGGGTTCAATGTGTGGGGATTTGTCCGTGCTGGCCATGTCCCCTGTGACTGGCTGCAGCCCCGGGTGGGAGGTGGGGTACATGTCCAGGCTGGAGTAGGTGCGGTGCTGGGGAGGGGTCTGCATGGGCAGGGAGTCATACATGCTGGGCTCCCCTATCAGGGCTAGTGTTGTCTTGGAGATGGCGCTGTAGAACAGCTGCAGGTCACTGGCACTGTCAGCCATACCTTTAGCTGGAGGGTGGAAGAGGGTTTTGAAGAATTTACTAAAGAAAGTATAATAATTTATAAAAACATCCACAGTATTGGACTGATAGTGATACGGTTGCACATACAAATGGGCATAAAATCACAAAAGAGGAAGTGAGTTGGTTTAAGTTGATTCAAGTTGTATCACAGAGTTTAAGCTCAATGTTTTACACCGCACTCAGCAATATTCCAGCTATATGGAGACGGTCTGAAAATAATCAAGTCTGGACCAGACAATCTAGTGATCAACAACATGAGCATCGATCTGCGCAGTTGGGAACCGATGACATCATGAGCATTGGGTCAGAAAAACATAATCCTAATTGAAACCTACGATCATGGGTTTCTGCAGAGCAAATCATGGTGTCTTTTCAACAGGGCCCTAAATGCCCACATCAGAACACATTGGAAACTAAATTTGTAAAGTAGAGTCACTTCTCCTTCCTTACATGAAGACAATCTGCAAAATTATTTTCTGAACACACAGCTTTACATAACTTCATTGTCTTCACAGTGAGTCAGAGGTGAGGAAGAGAAATCAGCTGACGGACTTTAATGTCTAACTTCCATACACGCCATATTTAACATAAAGAAAGACTGTCCTGTGTAATAGATCTGAGCCTTTCCTTAAAGAGTGAGAGCAGAGCTCCAGATAGGATTTAGCTCATGTGGGTACTGTACCCACTGAATTTTTTTGGAGTGGGTATTATGTTGAGTGGGTATTTCATTTTCGGTTACCCACTGCTTTCAAATATGTGCGTATTTCAGTCATTTTACTCACCTAAGTATTACATCATTGAGTAAGTTTACTAAGCAGGTATGTTCTGCCTTAAGTCATACCTAATCAAAACCAACTTAAATATAATGAAAATGATTTCATAAAATTCACTCATCCTATACTGACAGTACAACACTTGTCCTAGACTAACAGTACAACTTGATAGCAATCAATGTCTTTTTCATTACGAAAGCGATTTTTATAAATATATTCTGTACGCATTTGTTTTAAACTTTTTGCGTATCTAACATTTTAAATGCGTAATTGGTACGCAACAATTATTTTTTCAATGCGTAGTTGGAAATTTTCTATGCGTATTTTACCCGGATATGCAGCTTATCTGGGCCTCTGGTGAGAGAGACAGATATAACACCACTTTGAACACTATGCCACTTATGTCGAGACAGATCAGCCTAATATTGTCAAAAAGCCTGAAGTGGTGCAGGACGCACGTGAAAGCCAGCATAGAGCACAGAGATAGTGCATTTTTATTACACACAGCATAGACAAAGCATTCCCATGTACAAGCTCTGTACCTTCACTGAGTACCACAGCACTCTCCTCATCAGTGTATCTCACATCAAAGTTGATGTCCTTCATCCCGAGGTTCTCCACAGACTTCAGAGGCTTGGACAAGCGTTCACGTCGAATGCCCCTGCAACAGGCACACAATCATATAAGGTTCAGTGTATAAAGAGTTGGGTTTCAAGGAGCTCTTGGCTCTGGTTCTGCAGGTGTAAGTACTCCAGGCATATCACAGTGAGGATACTCTAGCGATGCATTTCTTACATTCTACCATGTGGCGGGTCAAAATGAGGTCATCAGTGTGTCCACCCAAACATTAACCAGTCGGCTACCTCATCATAGCATTCTGGCGTGCCAAGGGCCACAACTCAGCAATTGTGTACATCAAATTGAGGTGAGGTGAGGTGAAATTGGGTTTAACGTCGTGCTTGAGAATATTTCTCTCATATGACGATGTGCATGCGTGTGTATGTGTATGTGCGGCTGCTTGTACTAGCCCAGACTGAAGCTGGTTTTATAGTGCTATCCCACTGAGATACCATGCCGCAGTGAACACCCCACTCAGACACATTATACTGACTCTGAGCCGACCAGTCCTTGTTGTACCCATTATTGCCGAGCGCCAGACAGGGACCAACAAGTACCATATTTTAATGTCTTTTGGTATGACGTGGTCGGGGATCGAACCCGTGACCTTCAGCTCTCCGGACGGACGCTCTAACCACTACACCACGGAGGTGGTCCATCAAATTGAGGCACCTGAGACAACAGGGCCACTCCTGACTCCTCCCAATGTAATGTGTTGTAAAGCAGGTACATGGTAGTTGGATGATTCATGAAATTCCAGAGAAATATATATATATTCACCGTTACTTAACTTCAACAGTGAGTGAGTATGCTTTTAGCAATATTCCATCAATATGACGGCATGGGTCGCCATAAAAGGGCTTCACACATTATACCTATGTAGGGAATCATACGTGGGTCTTCAGCATGAGAAGCTGACATTTTAACCATGAGCAGTACTTAAACAGAGCAGTACTTTAACACATCAATAACATTAGTACAGCAATGGCATGTTTTAGATCAAACCCATGTATTCACGAAAGCTCATATTTCAGTTCAGTCACTGCACCAATGTGGTTAATCAAATGTGGGAAATCATGTAAACAAACCCTCAAAAGCCTCAGTATCCTTTGATGATAAAGCAAGCATACCTTCTGTACTTTTGTCTGCTGACCTCATCGCCGTGGTAGAAGGCAATGGCTGCCACTATTTCCTTGTGCTGGGCACAGATTGCAGCCTACGGTCTGACGGGCTGAATGCAATCACGACTGTCTAGAGAACAGAAAACAATTTGATGGACACCACTGTAAACACGAAGCATCCTTGATTACATGAGGCATCAGGGCTCCAGATAATTTTTCAACATCAGGAGTACGTACTCCTTATTTTTTCAATATAGGAGTACTGGAAAACCTTAAGAGTACATTTAGAGTACTGAATGGAATTTAATGGAGTATCAGTAATCTTGTGTTTCGTTTCATATATGCACCGCAACATTGCTCTCTCGTGTAAACAGGTCAATAAACAATAAAACAATACTTTTTCATATAAATATACTGAGTCAAAAAAGAAACTTCACAAAATGTAATTTGAAAACTAATGAATAATTTTTCTCTGATGATACATCTATGTATCCCGAAATGGGATCCCTATCTTTCGACTCTAGAAAAACGTTAGCAAAACCCACTCAAACCCATCCATTCGTCGTGCAAATGACGTTACTGCCAAATCAGGTTTTGCACGTGCAGTCGATCACTTGATCTTCGCATCGAGGTTTTCATCATATGCACGTGTTTGCATTGGCCTCAAGAATTGAAAAAACACTTTTAAACCACAGTTCTAACGGTACTTGAAATGCCACGATTGTCAAATGTGCAAGCGTGAGCGTGCCGTTGGCATGTTGCAAGGGAAGATCAGTTATTGGCGTCGCCAAGAGCAATGGGATGCAGCCGTCGTACTGTGCATGACTTGCAAGGTCTACAACAAACTGGCACCACTTCTGATAAGCCCAAGGTCGGATTAGATCACGTGTGACGTCACGAGCATAAGACCGTCAAATCGTCCTACGTCACCTACGTGACAGATTTCTGCCGGATACATGAACCAGGGCTGAGATGTTTAGAGGTCGACTGTCCTCACAGACCATTCGAAATCGGTTGCGGGCTGCCAATCTCCATTCTCAGCGTCCATATCGTGGGCCAATATTGACGCCGTTTCATCAACGTCAACGTCTGCTGTGGGCCCAACGTCACCTCCGATAGACCCAGAGAGACTGGAATCGAGTCGTCTTTAGCGATGAATCCAGGTTTACCCTCAGATTCGCAGATGGCAGGCATAGAGTCTGGAGACGACGTCGTGAACGGTATGCCCAATGTTGTGTACAGGAAGTCGACAGATTCGTGGGTGGAAGTTGCACCGTTCCCGACTTCTGGTCATCCGTGGAAACCTCACAGCTGCTGCTTACCGCGACCAGGTGCTCACCCCTGAAATCGTTCCGTTCATGGCGGCTCATGGCCCAGGTGTACAGTTCCAGCATGATAATGCTCTGCCGCATACCGCGATGTTGACACGAAATTTCCTTCAAAACGCTGGAATCAACGTCATGGACTGGCCATCGAGGTCCCCTGACCTTAATCCAATAGAGCACGTTTGGGATGCACTTGGGAGAAGGCTTCGTGGTCTTAGGAACCAACCTCCGAATTTGCAGGAACTTGGTGCTGCCTTGCAAGAGCAATGGCGCAGAATCCCCAACCACGTGTTCACAAGCATCAGACAGTCGATGAGGAGACGGTGTTTGGCAGTGGTGAATGCGCGGGGCGGCCATACACGATATTGAACTGAGAAATTTCGCATTTTTATTCTTGTGACTTGACATTCTGTATACCCATGTTTTGGAACGGCGGTGTAGCCTAATGGAACTGATTATGGCACTGTCAGTGTATCGAGTACATCACACAGATCTCAGCAATGAAATAATAACCATCTATCCATCTCTTGTTCTTTTATAGTGCCCTGAAGAAAGAATGTGAAGTTTCTTTTTTGACTCAGTATACGTCTGTAAATGATGCTAAGATCGTACACCATTGCTGTGGAGCGTATCTGCTACGTTTCCTAAATTATTTCCTACTGTATCGTGCATACTTTGTATCCGTACATCATCGATACGGCCTTTATCTGGAACCCTGAGGCATCATACCTCCATTACAATATGTACACCCTGCACTACTTAATACCACATCTTCATTTCAGAAGTGATGGACCATTTTGATTTCAGCGTTGAACCACATCACTGCTGGAAACAATGTTCTTGAGCGGAACTGGTGCACAGGAGTAATCATAATTGACACAATTGATTTTATTACATGCCCCTAAATGATGTGAGAAATGACTATCACAACCAAATATCATATCATCACTGGTATTCTAATTGGGAACTAATATTGGATCCTCACAACATGTGCTTAGCTTCTTCACTTAGAGTGGGGAGGTAACTACATATCTTAGCGAATGTTGTTGTTTTTTTGCTGCTGTCAGCATTATTTCAGCCATATCAAAGCAGTCTGTAATTGAGTTTGGAACAGGCAAACAAGTGGTTTATACAATGAGCAACACATCATAATCATCCAATCGGGGTGAGCAGAATGAGCTAGCGCTTTATTCTTATTACACTCACTAAATGACGGAGACGTTAAGCAATTATGTAACAAATGACCAACCCTGGATGGTAACAAGACGATATGTGCTCCAATCTGAGCGCTGACTATAGTAGGCCAATGTATGTGAGTTACAATATACTCAGCACTAAAAATAGTTTGTCCCCCTGAGCCTGATCCACAGCATGAACATGCTTACCTTCTGTTGGCCTGGAGTGAGGACAAACTCGTTAGGGTCAATTGCCACCCTCCCAGGGGCCAGGTTCTTGGAGCAGTGCAGATCTGAAAGCCAGGTAACTTCATGAGTGTCCGATTTAAATGTCCTGAATCAGTATCTCTTTATTCCATTTAATCTTGTCATATTTAGATCGGGATACTGCACAAAGATCTTACCAATTCACTACCTCCTAGGGACGTAAAGACTGATGAAGTCATTGATGCAATGCAGTTGCTCCTGGCCTAATGATAAGATCTATCACCAGTTCACATTGATATTTTGTGAGATATGGAAACAGTATTTCCAAAACTGCAATACTGCAATCAAATGATTTAATACAAAACACCACCCCTACTAAATGCATCACAATCTATTACATTTCATATGATTACATACATTTACAACACATTCTTAAATTTAAATGGGACAACAATACAGCTTCACTTGCAATATCTACCTTCGTAAGGTGTTGCTCGGACAAATGCTGAACGTTGTCCGGAGTTAGTGACCACCACTCTGCTGAGACAGTTGTTGCCAATAGAGATGCGGCCAATAGTAACAAAGTACTTGTCTGTCCCAGACTGACCAACGCCCTCTAGGGCGATGGAGCTCAGTCCTCCGTAGCCAGAGAGAGGAATCTACACAACAAACATTGTATTAATCAGATGCTACATACTGCATCATGGGTGCATACAAATTGAAAACAAACTGAAAACTAATCCTGGGATGTAGAAAACTTGAGTTTCATGCACTCAAAGTTTAGAAATCAGCGATGCTATTCAGAATTCAGAACTCAACTTCTGTTCATAATCATTTAAATAATACAACAGATTCGACTGCTTCACTATCTGAAGATTTGTTTTAGCTGGGAAAATACATATTTATTTCAACTGAAGGACTTAGATCATACACAATCTTCTGTCAGTAAATAATAGAGGTCAATATTCACATTTCTCTTGGAAAATACATATTTTGCATGGCACCAATCTTCGACTCAAGAGTCCACTGGACATACTACCCGGAACGTTATTCCCTGTCAAATTAACTCATCTTGCAGAGAGGAACTTCTACCAACATTCAAAAATCAACACTAAAAAATATGAGTTTGAACAAACAGATGAGTGATTGATATAATGAGCATCACCCCATGCTGTCTGGGTATGTTGACATGCAACAAGCAATTCACAGACACCATCCAATTCAGCTAGCTGTCTCTTCTGCCCCCTCAATTTCATGCTATCACCTCCATTATAGCTGAGAGTGCCTGGAATTCCCTGAGCTCATATTGACCTTGCGTTAACACTTACAGAAAATTTAGTCCCCAGATCATATGGCTTGATGACGAGTTTTCCGCTGTTGGGAGATACAGAGTCCGGCGCATACAGCATGTAGATGGGGAATTTCTCCTGCGGCTGGATGATGATGTCACGGCGCCGGATCTTCTCATCCGTTCGACTCAGTGAACTCTGCAGCTGGATTGAGAGAGAGTGAGTGAGTGAGTGAGTGAGTGCATGAGTGAGTGAGTGAGTGGTGTTCCAGCCCCAGTCTGTTTGATGCTTCATGTAAAATAGTAACATGTCTCAGATGTTTGCCACTAAGGAGAAACCCACAAACATGTTTCAGGTACTAACAGTTTGTCTTGGTTTGGTTGTTGTTGTTTAACGCTGCACTCAGCGATATTCCAGCTATATGGCAGCGGTCTGTAAATAATTGAATCTGGACCAGACACTCCAGTGATCAAAAGCATGAGCATCGATCTACAAAATTGGGACATAACATGTTTCAACCAAGTCAGCGAGCCTGACCACCCAGTCTTAAGGTGCTAACAAAACCAATAATCTGTGATTAGTCACATACATACACATAAACATTAGCCACTGTGTATTATTCTCAGTCCTGAAATTTCATTTGTTTGTGTTTAATGCTGCACTCTGATGTATTCCAACTAAAAGACAGCAGCAGTATATAATGAGTTATGTTTTGATGAAGAGGATGTCACACCTGGAAGCAGTTGGTGTCGGATCGGATGTCGACGCTGAGCTTCAGTGACTGGGGGGCATTGTTGAGGATGGTGACCTTCTGTTGCCTGGAAACGAACAAAGATGAGTTGATAACATTAACAGTACAGGAGATGGAACAGACAAACTTGACACACAAAATTACACATGTCAACAGCTTTTCATAAGATTAGTTTAAAAAATGTCTTTAGCATACACAGGTCCAATTCAAGCTAACTTCACTTCAGTATTGCGCAGACTTATGGCAAGTGCTTAATTTTATTCTGCTTTAAAAAACTCATGACATCTAAAAAAACAGGAGTGAGTGAGTGAGTGAATGAGAGAGTGAGTGAGTGAGTTTTACGCCAATTTTAGCAATATTCCAGCAATATCACTGCAAGGGACACCAGAATGGGCTTCACACATTGTACCCATGTAGGGAATCAAACCCGGGTCTTCGGCATGACAAGCTAACGCTTTACGTTTAACCACTAGGCTACCCCTACGCCCCTGCCTGTTTGGAATTATGAGGAGTCAAGGGCTTTACTATTCACACTAACAGCTTTGGCACAGAGCAAGTAGGTATCCTGGAAGCACAGTTTATCATCTGCAAACAAGACCTTACTAAAGGTTACACCCAGGGTAACAAGAGCATCTATCCACTCACTTTGCCCTGCCGATGGCCACACCTCCGAATGCCAGGTAGGACTTGTCACTGAGCAGGAAGGGGCCATGAGGTGTGGGCTGGACCTCCCCTTTCAGCACCAACTCGTACATTGTACCGTCCTGAAGCAGGTACATCACGAAGATTCTGTAAAAGAAAATCATGTCATCTTGTTTCACACATTTTAGGTATAGAGGAAAGGTGTTATCCAGCCATCTGTTAGTTTAAAATATATCACCACACTCAGCAATATATCAGCTACATAACAAGTCTGGCCATGACTGACATCATGGACATCCAGCTACACAGTTAGGATACAACGTCATGCCTCATCCAAATCAGCATACCTAACCACCTGACCCGTGAAGATCCGGGTAGAATAGGTCTTCAGCAACCCATGTGCTTGCCATAAAAGACGACTATGCTTGTCGTAAGAGGCGACTAACGGGACCGGGTGGTCAGTTTCGCTGACTTGGTTGACACATGTGGATTGTCTGGTCCAGATTGTCTGGTCCAGACTCGATTATTTACAGACCGCCGCCATATAGCTGGGATATTGCTGAGTGTGGAGTAAAACTAAACTCACTCACTCACCTAACCACCTGATTTCCAATGTAGCCTCCAACAACAATTAAAAGAAGATAACTCAGAAGTTCTTTCTGTAGTTAATCTGTAATTCAATGTTTCTGTAATTAATCTGTAATTCAATGTTTCTGTAATTAATATGTAACTCAATGTTTCTGTAGTTAATCAGTAATTCAATGTTTCTGTAATTAATCTGTAATTCAATGTTTCTGTAATTAATCGGTAATTCAATGTTTCTGTAGTTAATCGGTTATTCAATGTTTCTGTAATTAATCGGTAATTCAATGTTTCTGTAGATAATCGGTAATTCAATATTTCTGCAGTTAATCGGTAATTCAGTGTTTCTGTAGTTAATCGGTAATTCAATGTTTCTGTAATTAATCGGTAATTCAATGTTTCTGCAGTTAATCTGTAATTCAATGTTTCTGTAGTTAATCTGTAATTCAATGTTTCTGTAATTAATATGTAATTCAATGTTTCTGTAATTAATCTGTAATTCAATGTTTCTGTAATTAATCTGTAATTCAGATCTCAAAACTCAGGAAAACTATTTGGCACACAACTGAGACACACACCATCACTATCAGCCTAAATGGTCTGTTATGACTTCATTTTTCTTTGGACAAGTTTCAAAATACAATAACATCCATCTGATAATATGAGCCAGTTGAGTCGGAGTTCAGTTTCAAAGTCCCAGGCCACATACATCTGACAAGAAAACACACAGCTTTACTGTCTAATTGAAGGAAACGATTGAAACTCGCATGCATTTCTTCACCAAATAATGGGACCTTGAGAAGACATAGTAAGTGAAATACACCAACTACTGTGAGATTCGACAACTTCAGGTTGGGAAGCAATTTCCCCTACATACGTGTCATATTTCTTCACGTCCTTGTCCAGTCTGGGGTGGAAGGAGACAGTGACGGAGGAGTAGCTGCCTGGGCCAATGAGCAGTTTCTCGGGGGTGATGCGGAACACGTCGGAGAACTGTGGCACTGATAGCTGCACCTCCATCTTGATGTTCCCTGAGTTCTTCAGCTTGATGGTCTCCTGGGCACTCTTCCCAGCCTGACACTTCAGGTGGATCGTCTACAACATACAGTTAGGTGTTTGTCAAACCATCTCCATCCACTGTTCATACTTGTAGCTAACACCTTCACACCAAGTTTATAAAATAATTGTTTCAAAAGTAAGAAAATCAAAATGTTAACGAACCCTAGTACATCAGACACGTTAAAGAACACCCACAATTGGAATAGTTGTTATAATCCCCAGCAAACACAATACCATACTGACCATTACTACTGTCACAAGGCTTCATTTATTCATTTTCATATTTTAAGCTACTGCCTGCCCGGTTAAATACAGAAGCCCCTACTATATACAGTGAGCTGGACGTACCTCCATGTTCCTGGGTGTATGCAGTCGGAGCACCCCGATGGTTGCCTGCAGTCTGATGGAGGCCACAGGGGGCAAGCTTGGGATGGGCGTGTCCACCTCGATATCAATACGGGCCTCTATCTCATCTGGAGGGTACTGGGCCAGCACTGAAGGAAACATGGAACTGCTTAAAACGGTGATTAAGCAGAACCACCTCAATCCAAGGGATTCAGTAAAACCTCCTAAATCTATGGGATTCAGCAGAACCTCCTAAATCTATGGGATTCAGCAGAACCTCCTAAATCTATGGGATTCAGCAGAACCTCCTAAATCTATGGGATTCAGCAGAACCTCCTAAATCTATGGGATTCAGCAGAACCTCCTAAATCTATGGGATTCAGCAGAACCTCCTCAATCTATGGGATTCAGCAGAACCTCCTAAATCTAAGGGATTCAGCAGAACCTCCTAAATCTATGGGATTCAGCAGAACCTCCTAAATCTATGGGATTCAGCAGAACCTCCTCAATCTATGGGATTCAGCAGTACCTCAATCCAAAGAATTCAGCAGAACCTCCTAAATCTAAGGGATTCAGCAGTACCTCCTAAATCTAAGGGATTCAGCAGAACCTCCTCAATCTATGGGATTCAGCAGAACCTCCTCAATCTAAGGGATTCAGCAGTACCTCCTAAATCTAAGGGATTCAGCAGTACCTCAATCCAAAGAATTCAGCAGAACCTCCTAAATCTAAGGGATTCAGCAGTACCTCAATCCAAAGAATTCAGCAGACGCCCTCAATCCAAGGCATTCAGCAGAACCTCAATCTAAAGGATTCAGCATAGTCTTCTCAAACTAACTGACTCGGCATAGCTTCCACATTCTAAGGAATTCAGCAGAACATGTTCAAGCTGAGGGATTCAGAAGAACCTCCTCAATCTGAGGTATTCTGCAGAATCTGCCTTGGCGAAGCAGCAGAACCCCAATTCATAAAGATTAAACTTGTTCATGGATAATTTCAAATTAATGAAAGCTATCAATTCCCAAGTGCCTTCAGGTTAAACAAGTTGGGGATGAGAACTTTGAACAGTATTGAAAATGCTGATGATGAACTACCTGAGTGAGATTGCTTTTCCGGTGGTCTGCAGTATATCTTGATGTCCTCAGATGACATAGAAGAGCCATTCTCACTATAGCCCTTGAGTGAGATGTTCACAACGCCTTTCCCTAGAGCTGGGGATGGGGGTCGGTTGCTCTTTGAGATGAGGGAGACATTCCCCATTTGTGACTTGTCAAACATGAAGCAGTGCCATGACTTGCTCTGGAAGAAATATGTTACATCAGAGAGAGTGACATTTACGCCGCTTTTAGCAATGTGCCAGCAATATCACGGCAAGGGACACCAGAAATGGGCTTCACACATTGTACCCATGAGGGGAATCAGATCCGGGTCTTCAGTTTGACAACCCATGCTTCAAACACCAGGCTACCCCGACACTACACGTTACAGAGAAATCACAGCTAGTCAGCATGGATCAGGGGTTAATATTGATCCACAGAGAAGCCAAAATCTTGGTCTGAATCTGCACCAAATGTTAGTAAATATTTCCAAATTAATTGGAATTAAAGTAAAATATGGTTATAACTCTGAGAGACCACTAACTTTAGTTATATACATTTTAAACAGAATGTACAAGTGGCCTGGACAAAAGGAAAAGTTTGTTGTACCCGTCAGTTTGTTACATGTGTGTTAGTCATAAAGATTGTTTACTGTAACAGTTTCCCAGTTCATATTAATACAGTAATAATTGATATTGATGAGACGCTGAATGGAACAGATCCAACACTCACTGCAGTGATGGCCAGTCTTAGGGGCACCATGGACTTGCCGACATTACGCAGAGTCAGTGATGAGGCCTTACTCTTCCCCCACGTCATCACGCCAAAGTGGATGGCGCTGTCCTCCTCGGTAACAACCTGGATCATCGGTCGCTCTGAGATGGCCTGCAGTGTGACGGTTGCCGGGAGACCATCAGGGATCATGTTACCGTCTCGCAAGAACGGCTGTGAGAAAACTTCTACCTGAGCTACATATGCTCCGGGGGACTTGGGCAGGAACATCACCTACAGTCAAATCATATAATTACCATTATTATAATCCTTGTTATGTATTTCCTATTAAGATATAAATCATAGCTCACAGTCCACCATTCTAATATTGAACTGATATTATCCACCTGATCTAAGGATAACCACCAGGGCTATCTGTGAACATGATTTCTTTATTCATTCAAATGAAATAAACTAACAGTTTTCACGAAACAAAGTTTCGGTTTGCTGCAGCAAAATCTGAATTAGCTTGTATAATGTACACGATACATATAAAGAAATTGAGAACTAAAGCAATGGAAAAACGTATCAACAGTATCATCATTAAAATACTATGTTAAGTTTGAAACTTCCAATAACAAAACTCAGAGACACATACACAAATTATAATCATCAGAATCATTAAAACACAAACAAAAACATACTGGAATGTTTTCTGTCGAGTCAGGTTCAATTGTGAGCTTGTTTTTCATCTTGAAAGGACAGTGAGTCTCAGGGTCAACTCCTCGGCCATTCAAGCTAAGCTCCTTCACAAAGATGACACACTGGAGCCAACGAGGGGTAGGGTTCTTCAGGGGCAAGGTCGTCTCCACAGAGATGCCCACACAACAGGGATCAGGGAATGTCACTATGCTTGGCGTCTCTATGCATGTTCTGGACATGCGAGGGGTCATCATAGTGCATTGTAAAGAACCATCTGTGAAGAGAGACCACAGTGATGACATTCTGGCCAGTACAACGACAGAACATAATTCCTTGAATCATACAAACTGTTGGATGGGGACAGTCCTGGAAATTGATGATTCTTCAGCATCTACGTAACTGATGAATTTATTGCTCTCTTTGTTTCATACCCATGAAGATCCAGGTTAGAATTGATCTTCAGCAACCCATGCTTGTCGTAAGAGGCGACTAACGGGATCGGGTGGTCAGGCTCGCTGACTTGGTTGACACTTGTCATCGGTTCCCAATTGCACAGTTCGATGCTCATGCTGTTGATCACTGGATTGTCTGGTCCAGACTCTATTGTTTACAGACCGCCATATAGCAGGAATATTGCTGAATGTGGCGTAAAACTAAACTCACTCACTCACTCTTTGTTTCAACAATCTTAATATCATCTGCCATAGGTGACAGGACAACCCATGACCCAAAAGTAGTAGGAACTTCTATAATATGCTTGGCTAGATCCACCACCCCCATTGATACCTCCAATATGTTGCACACATCAGTCTGCAACTTCAGCCTTATATCCAAGACCTGCAAAACTCTCTTTGGTCTCCTTAGATCATCCAACTATTATGATAATATCCAAACAAATCAAATAAACTCCACTGAAATATGAATTTAGTCAAGTTAAGACATTTTTGGACTGTATATCTTATAACTAATTTTACAGTTTGACAGACACAGAAGCAATTGAAGTCTTCCTGTGACTGTGTGTTTTATCGTTTGGTGCTGTATGTGAACATTTAGAACCTTGAATATATTCAGTATTACAGTAACTGCCTACTGAATAAAAGGAGAAACATCCAATTCATATTTTCCAGTCAGTGAAACCCTAGAAAAAACCACTTATCAGTTTCTAAAAAGAGTGAGAGAGTGAGTTTAGTTTTATGCCACACTCAGCAATATTCCGGCTATATGGCGGCGGTCTGTAAATAATCGAGTTTGGACTAGACAATCCAGTGATCAACAGCATGAGCATTGATCTGCGCAAGTGGGAACTGATGACATGTGTCAACCAAGTCAGCGAGCCTGACCACCTGATCCCGTTAGTCACCTCTTACGACAAGCATAGTCGACATTTGTGGCAAGCATGGGTTGCTGAAGACCTATTCTACCCTTGATCTTCATGGATGTTTCTAAGAAGAATGTTTGGTACCAAGGACTGATCCAAGGTACCAAGGACAGAGAACCACAGTGCCACCAGGTCTTCACTCTGGTTTCCCAGCCTGGAGAAGTCCACTTACCCGTAGATGAGATGGCGTTCCTGTTGGCTGGAGTCACGGTGGTGTTGGTCTCCAGATAAACCGGCATGTTGTCGTGGAAGGGTGTGCTATGATACACCGGCATCTGGTTGAAGAAGCTTGGCACCTCAGATCCATACACTTGACTCATGGTCGACAAGTTCTGAGGTTCCAGCTCCAGAAAACTACGAGCAGCTGTGTCGTCTGTCATAAAGCTGATGTCATCCAGATGCGGATTCTCCACCCGGTTCTCCTTGCCTAGATGCTTCTGAGCAAACTCTGTCTTCATCAAAGACTGCCCAGTGAGAAGCGTAGGCTTCTTACTTGGCACCTTCTCTGGTGGGGGCATGGATGGTTTGAAACCAGAGTGTGGCCCATCATTATTGTTCCCTTGAAGTCTTTGCATATGACCTACTGTCATTTGTTGATGAGGATGGTTTGAAAGACCTTTATCTAACGTATCGGCATGAAATGAAGAAACTTTTGAGACCAACTGATTAGACATGTAACTTCTGTCACATGTCATCTTAGCACCAACACCATCTGAATATTTTGAAAGATCATTATTTGAGTACAAGCTGCTGCCAGTCTTTGGTACATTCCGGGTCACTTCCTGGTCTCTGATCACATTAAACCCGCGAGATTCAACCAGCTGAATATCTGATGTCCCTACCATCTCATCCCTTGAGAGTTGCTTGTCGATACTGAGATAGTTGGAAACAGTACTATAGTCTGTACCATCTGGTATGTGATGCGCAGTGGGCCCATTGAACCCTGAGTCTGTCTTACAACTGTAAGGCACATTAGGGGTGAAAGAAGCAGCTTTTTGTTCACCACGATACCCATCCTTAACACAACTAGAAACACAGTTGCCAGATGTCTGAGACAAGTTACCATCCATGTCATTTTGTCCAGCATTAACACTAACATGATCTTGATGAATTTGAGCCGGAAATGCATTCGCGTGTCGATTATCGTAACACGGAATATTTTCTTTCCTAAAATGAGATTCAGTTTTTTGAAGGACTGGTGGGGTCATTGGGCATGCGTTGATCATTTGCTTTGACCTCTGCTGGCCAGGGCCTCCTTTTCCTCTGGCCATGCTCTGATTACCACTCTCTCTGTCCTTCCTCCTCTCATTCATGATAGCACTTCTTAACCCAGCGATGTCAACATCATCGTCTAAATTGTCACAGTTTTCATTTTGTCTTATTTTTGACAGATCAGACATATTTTCCTTTTCACCTTTTTTTGACTCACCATTGAAAGAAGTCAGCAAATTTTGTTGCGCATTTCCCTTTTTCTGGAATTTCAAATGTTCTTCCAAAAAGTCCCCTCCCAAACTTGGACGAGGTGACGCCCACTCATTCTGAAAACTGTCATTATTCTCAACTATCTCATTTGTGGAATTATTCAACTTTTTCTCAGGTGTTACTTTCTTTGCCTTATCAAGCTTCTCATTCGCCTGCTTTAGAGGCACTGTTTTAATTGGCTCCTGCTTGCCCATAGATTGGTTATTTGTTCGAACACCTGCCGACATCATCTTTTGTAATTCTTTAGCACTCTTGATGGTCAAATCAGTGTTCACTTGCACTGGTTTCTCTAACACAGAGCTAGATTTGCACTTTCTCATTCCTGCCGAGTCAGCCTTTTTAACCTGCAAGACACTCTTGTCCCTTGGGAATTCCCCTGCTTTTTGATCTGCACTCTCAGACTTGGGCCTTCTCACCGTGTCCGATCTCCTCCGAACAACTTTTTCAGTGGTTGGCTTGTCATCTTTTTCTGTGCTTTGTCGATCTTTCCATGCCTTCTCATACATAGATGCCAAAGAACCTTTGCGTATTGGGAGGCGGGAACCCCTCAATGGCTTTCTTGGGGGACTAGACTTCTCAAATGATTTGGATTCAGCTTTATTTGTTGGAAATGAAAATTCCTGCAAAAGCAAGATAAGATTGAGTTATATTAAACAGAAAAATAACACCCTAATAGTTTGGTGACCCCGATCATTCAAATCTGAAAAACAAATAAAATCTAACAACAATCCTCCATTTCTTTTCAATGGTGTATACCTGCATCAATACATGCAGTGCTTCAGCCAGGATGTTTTTGAATGTTGCCAATTGGCACCTTAACTACTAAAATGTGTGCCAATGCAGTTGAGACTTTTGCCATTCACGGTAACCATGGTATAGAAGACCTGTGGATTATATTAAATGTTGCGCCAATGCAGTTGAGACTTTTGCCATTCATGGTAACCATGGTATAGAAGACCTGTGGATTATATTAAATGTTGCGCCAATGCAGTTGAGACTTTTGCCATTCATGGTAACCATGGTATAGAGGACCTGTGGATTATATTAAATGTTGTGCCAATGCAGTTGAGACTTTTGCCATTCATGGTAACCATGGTATAGAAGACCTGTGGATTATATTAAATGTTGCTGCCAATGCAGTTGAGACTTTTGCCATTCATGGTAACCATGGTATAGAAGACCTGTGGATTATATTAAATGTTAGCCAATGCAGTTGAGACTTTTGCCATTCATGGTAACCATGGTATAGAAGAGGATTATATTAAACCAATGCAGTTGAGACTTTGCCATTCATGGTAACCATGGTATAGAGGACCTGTGCATTACATTTAATGTTGTGCCAATGCAGTTGAGACTTTTGCCATTCATGGTAAACCATGGTATAGAAGACCTGTGGATTATATTAAATGTTGCCCCAATGCAGTTGAGACTTTTGCCATTCATGGTAACCATGGTATAGAAGACCTGTGGATTATATTAAATGATTGCCCCAATGCAGTTGAGACTTTTGCCATTCATGGTAACCATGGTATGCCAATGCAGTTGAGACTTTTGCCATTCATGGTAACCATGGTATAGAAGACCTGTGGATTTATATTAAATGTTGTGCCAATGCAGTTGGATTATATTAAATGTTGCCCCAATGCAGTTGAGACTTTTGCCATTCATGGTAACCATGGTATAGAAGACCTGTGGATTATATTAAACCTAATGCAGTTGAGACTTTTGCCATTATGGTAAACCATGGTATAGAAGACCTGTGGATTATATTAAATGTTGCCCCAATGCAGTTGAGTGCCATTCATGGTAACCATGGTATAGAGGACCTGTGGATTATATTAAACTTGCAGTTGAGACTTTTGCCATTCATGGTAACCATGGTATAGAAGACCTGTGGATTATATTAAATGTTGCCCCTAAATGCAGTTGAGACTTTTACCATTCATGGTAACCATGGTATAGAAGACCTGTGGATTATATTAAATGTTGCCCCCAATGCAGTTGAGACTTTTGCCAGTCCATGGTAAACCATTAAGGATGGATTATATTAAATGTTGTGCCAATGCAGTTGAGACTTTTGCCATTCATGGTAAAACCATGGTATAGAAGACCTGTGGATTATATTAAATGTTGCCCCAATGCAGTTGAGACTTTGCCATTCCCATGGTAACCATGGTATAGAAGACCTGTGGATTATATTAAATGTTGCCCCAATGCAGTTGAGACTTTGCCATTCACGTGAAACCATTGAAGACTTTTGCCATTCATGGTAACCATGGTATAGAAGACCTGTGGATTATATAAATGTTAATGCAGTTGAGACTTTTGCCATTCATGGTAACCATGGTATAAGAAGACCTGTGGATTATATTAAATGTTGCCAATGCAGTTGAGACTTTTGCCATTCATGGTAACCATGGTATAGAAGACCTGTGGATTATATTAAATGTTGTGCCAATGCAGTTGAGACTTTGCCATTCATGGTAACCATGGTATATAGAAACCTGTGGATTATATTAAATGTTGTATGAGACTTTTTGCCAAGTAAACCATGGTATAGAAGATGTGGATTATATTAAATGTTGTGCCAATGCAGTTGAGACTTTTGCCATTCATGGTAACCATGGTATAGAAGACCTGTGGATTATATTAAATGTTGATTATACTAAATGCTGCCCCAATGCAGTTGAGACTTTTTGCCATTCATGGCATGGTTAGAGACTGTGGATTATATTAAATGTTGCAATGCATTCATGGTAACCATGGTATATAAATGTTGTGCCCAATGCAGTTGAGACTTTTGCCATTCACGGGCAACCATGGTATAGAAGACCTGTGGATTATATTAAATGTTGAGCCAATGAGTACGTTCTAGCATTGAAGTGAAGTGCCTCTGTATATTTTTTAGTGTCAATGGCGCCATGGTGCTTGCCTGGCTGAAGCACTGTACATATCACTAACAATCTTCTGTTAAAGACAGACTTTTTACAACACAAGAATCATAACATTGCAACATTCAATAGTTTATGCAATGAATATTTCCGCCTGTGTCGATACTTGCATACAAGTGACAAAGACTATATATGGCAACAGAGTATTACCTAAGTGATCAATATATATGCGATCATTAAATCTTTGTCACTGGCCCTCAAAAACTGACCTCATATATGTGCAACTTGTTTGTGATACACTGCTTTAGACTCCTACCCACTATCCTTTTATGACCTCTTCAATCAAAAACACCTGCAGCATCAACTAACACCAACCTGCTTCTGCTCCACAAATATTTCCTGTTCCACAGCCCTCTTCTCGGCCTTCTCGTCCTCAACCCTCTTCTCCAACACCTGTACAGGTCTCAGGTCCTTGTTTTTAGTCTGTTCTTGTTGGACATCTGCATAATTGTGCTGACTAGATCACCAGGGTTAGACTGAGAATTCACCTTGTTGATGAAGCTGTCAATGGCACTGACTGTCAATAAAGCACTGTTGTCTGTGATGCTGTGGTCGCTGTCCCTTGACGACTGACCGCTAGACCCCGACAGACGATCACAACCAGACTTTTGATTACCCTCTGTTGGTATCAGCTGTTTTGGTTGCTGACGTACAGGTGACATGCTAGAAGATGAGGGTTTTGGTGTGGTGGTCATCTCATCTATAGTGAACGTACTGTCTTTCTCACTCAGCAATGTCTGATCTCCTGTAAAACAAAAGAAAACTGAAGAAGTAGAAGATTTGAATTCATTCAAAAGATAATGCTACTGAATATATACAGTTGGAGAAAGTGTCTGAGTGAGTGAGTGGAGTGAGTGAGTGAGTGAGTGAGTGAGTGAGTGAGTGAGTCGCGTCGCAAGGCGTCGCGTCGCGCGTCGCGTGTGTAATACTGTCTTGCTCACTGAGCAATGTAATCAAAAGTAGACCGTCAATATTATTTGAATTCATTCAACAGATAATACTACTGGAAATATTCACTTTGTGTGAGTGTGTGTGTGTGTGTGTGTGTGTGTGTGTGTGTGTGTGAGTAAGTGAGTGAGTGTGTGAGTGAGTGTGTAAGGTGACTGAATGAGTGAGTGAGTGTGTGAGTAAGCGAGCGAGCAATACCTTCATCCTCATTCCCGACACCAGCTGTTCTCATGTCCGAGGGCTGACTAGGAGTAGGAGAGGTATCGATCAGGGCTACAGGTCGGCGGTTACCAGGTGGGGTCTTCACCAACATCCCAAACTCAGGCTGTGTTCAAAACAATATTCTTAGTTAGTGACTTAATCAGCTGAGGCACCATCATGGATCATGGTCAGTAACAAATCACTTATACAGTTAATCAAGATATCACTTCACTTTCAATCTAGTGGTCCTAAATTGGATTACTTTGAATGTTTATTGCAATTGTTTTATTTTTCTTTACACAATCTTTCTTTGGCCACACAAATTCTAAAACATTTGTTATGAAAAAAATGGGGTTGGCTGATGGGAAAACTAGAATGAAATACTTTAGGGGCATTTTCTTGTTCATCAAAGATGAAAACTGTGTTAGGTCTTTATTTAACCTATTATTCTCAAGTTGAACCTACAGTAAACATGTATTTACTGGTGATCATTTAACAGAAAACACATTTTTCATATTAATTCTTCCTTGTTTTCATTGTATTTGATGCAGTTTAATCCAAATCAAATTTATAAACAGAAGCCATGCTTCATCAACCACTAGCACCAAAATCCTATCTTGTGTTCGCCTACTGAGCTGGCCTACCCGGGGGTGCCTTGGATCCCCCTCCAGAGTCCCCAGCACCTCAGTCCGTGTGGCCCAGTACTGCCCGATGGAGATCCGCAGGCAGGCATCGTTGTTGAAGTTGTCCCAGCGAGATGTGGAATTAGCAATGACATCTCGGTATTGTGCTTGGGACATGTTATCATCCTGTCAACAAAACTGGACATTGTTATCAGAGGCCAAGGTGGGGAATCTGTTTATTTCTTGGCAGAGAAGTCAAGAAAGTGATATTGGAAGCGACTGTTGTGTAACATTTTGCTAGACACAGATGCCACTAGAGCATTTTCATGATTTTTGCAAATTTCCAAACAAATTTCATTATCAACATTGAAAAATATCTTCAGGAAATTTTAGATGACAGTTAGCATGATCAGTCGACCCGTGAAGATCCGGGGTAGAATAGGTCTTCAGCAACCCATGCTTGCCACAAAAGGCGACTATGCTTGTTGTAAGAAGCGACTAATGGGATCGGGCGGTCAGGCTCGCTGACTTGGTTGACATATGTCATCGGTTCCCAATTGCACAGATCGATGCTCATGCTGTTGATCACTGGACTGTCTGGTCCAGACTCGATTATCTACAGACCACCGCCATATATCTGGAATATTGCTGAGTGCGGCGTAAAACTAAACTCACTCACTCACTAGCATGATCAGTCAATATCAAACACTCAACTGAAACGCATTTGGACTTTTTCAAGATTTTAACCACTTCTGCTACAACTTTCTGTTATATCATTAAGTGTCAAGACGTTATGTCATGAACGTGTATTTGGGGTTTAGTATTTTCAGTAGGCTTAAGTTTATGGACTAGTAACAGCTGATCTTACTGGACCAGAAAATATTTCTTGACACGGGCAAGTGCATTATGTACATTTATAAATATCTTTATACACTTTGGATGACAATTTATCAATTTCCCCCACAAGGAACCAACAGTGCAAGAAGAAGGCCTGGTGAGTAAGACATGTGGCAAGGCTCTCATCATCCAATAAATGACCTGACTTGACAATGAATTTACGAAAGTTCAAAAGTAGAGAATTCTTTAATTTGACACAAGCATGAGAGACAGCATACTGCCATATGCCCATTAGCAACTTCTAGATATTTAATATCAGCCTTTACACACTCAGTATAGACTTGGCACAAGATCATACCTAATCAGCCCAATTGCTGGATATGTGCTATAACCTTGAACATTTGCACAGATAACCACTACAGGGTTTTACCTCGACTCACAAACATGGGGGTCACTCGGACACCTATTTATTAGTTTTAATAGTCCTTGCAGGCAATACGAGGGTTCTGTGCAATAACAGTTAGGGTTGCCACGATACATTGATGCATCGATACTTTTTCTAAGATGATACAATTATCAATATTTAGTTTTGAAAGTATCAGCTTAAATATGTTTATGTATTGTTTACATTTTGCAATTGTATCATGTTTTTTGATGCTATGAGAGTTATGATTATTTTTCATGCACAAAGATGGGAAATTAGAACTTTTTTAATCTCAGAGAACCAAAAATGTTGATCTTTTCATGGACAATCATAAAATATGAAATATTAATGCTCAAAATGTAACTAAATTTACGCTATAATGCTGCTAAATAGGTATTGTGATATGTATCGAAACGTGACATGGGTATCGTGATACGCATCGATTCATGAAACTTATGTATTGTGGCACCCCTAGTAACAGTGAAGAGAACAGTACGTTTTGATAATTTCTTTAGAGCCTGGAATGAATCATTGATCAAATGGACTGATGGATGAAATGATGCACTGACTGCTCTGAATGAAACAACTCAATACTTTGCAAAATCATAGATGTGGGTACAATGAATAATATTTTGAGTCTCTCTGGACACAGTGAATTGTTGTTCTGGGTCAAATCTCCACATTTGTGTATACTGGACCCACATTTACATTTCACGTAAAACCATGCTGCTATACATAACACACAAAGTGAAACATGACATCCAGGACTCTTTTTGATACTGCCAATCATATCAACTTCATGTAATGAATAGAAGATTTACACTAACCTGCATGAAGATATTCTCCTTTTCAAATTCCTCTTCATCAGCATCCAGCATAGCAATTCCATGATCTAAGGAGAAATAACACACAAACCATAGGCACCGGTTCCATGTTCATTAGGTGTATACGGGAGGTGTTTCAGATGACTTGTATCTCATTATAAATAAAGGTCCAAACAGATAGGGAACTCTAAAGTCAGGCCCAATTTGATGCTCATGATATCAATCACTGGACCATCATTTTTTATCTGATCCAGACTCGATTATTTACAGATCCATCTCCTAGAATATTAATGAGTGAGGGAGTGAATTCAGTTTTACACCGCTGTTAGCAATATTCTAGCAATATCACAGTGGAGGACACCAGAAATGAGCTTCACATTTTGTACCCATGTGGGGAATCAAACCTGGATCTTTGGTGTGACGAGCAAACGCTTTACCTCTAGGCTACCCCACCACCCCAGAATATTAATGAGCAACATCACACAAAACAAATACATCATAAATAGGACTGAATTACCATGTTGAAAATCAAGCTCATAAAGAATTAAGAGGGCTGGAGAAGATGCGACATCACACTCTGATCCTTTCCTTAAATGAAAAGCACATTCAGACTTGGCTTACCTATGTCAAAGAAATCTTCACTTTCTGGTACAGCAGCTTTAGTTTCGGCCAACTTGGCATCCTCAGTTTTGAGAAGCTGCTTCTGTTCACAAGCCTCCTTCATCAGAGACTTATGGAAGGCTAGATCCGCCACCCCTCACCGTTGTTGTCATAGTACACAGTGGTGTAGTTCTTCACAGCTTTAAATATCAGTGAGTAAGTGAATTTCATTTTACACAGCTTTCAGCAATATTCTAGCAATATCATGACAGGGGACCCAAGACATGGGCTTCATACATTGTAACCATGGCTTTAAATATCAAATAAGTATCTTGCAAGGTTTTCTGGGATTTCACAGATGCACACAGACTGCTTTTTATGTTTTTGCCTCCACAAGTGCAAAAATAGTTGGGAGTCAGTTCTTAAGAAACAGAATATCTACAGCTAATACAGATGGCAAAGACAAGGCAACAAGAAATAACACCAGTACATGTCCCTTGCAACTTTCCATCTCCACTCACCAGGAGCCTCTTTGACTCTGACATCTGCAGGAGTACATGACCCAGCTGGTCCTGAATCAGCTGCCATGGGTCCTTGTGCATCTCCCCCCAGACTCACCCCACCATCCTCACCATGGGGTAGGGAGTCATGACTCCAGAGGGAGCTCTGGCACTGTTCATCGACTGACGATCCATTCCTGTTTCAAAGCTCTGACCAAGGCCTGAGCTTGATACAGACTGGTTGCCTCCGATTGGCTGGTGTGTTTTTTTGTCTGACCAATCAGGAGGGCTGTCATGCCCTGGTTGATGAAGTTGTACAGAGGAATTTAAGCCAAAAGATCCCATGGATGAGTTGAAGGCAGCAAAGGGATCCTTAACCTGGAAAAGTGGAAGAATCTTAAAAAAAAACACCCGAATACCTGTTGCATACACATTTCATTTCAAGGAGCTTCACTCCCTCAAAATACTGTCTACCATGATAAAACCTCATGACATCTACTAAATCCTTACACTCATCACAGTGTACTATTGATGCTCTTCACAAAATCAAACTAAGTTGGGAATGTTGGCATGAGATAATCGGACAATACTCGTATGTGTGTTTGGGGATGGACTTGACTACAAAAGCAATTTTGGACGGGGGAAAGAGGGACAGCTGGCTAAAGCATTGCAGTGTACAAACTACTGGCAAACAAGGATAAGTTGAGCACTGACCTGACAACTGACCCGTATTAGCATGTATGAGTGCCGCCCACCGGTGCTTGCCATTGTTAGCGAAAGGGCACCAGGCTGTCCGCAATTAAGTGTAGTGCAACTTGCTACACCGATGTGAGAGTCTTATGAGCAAGGCGTGTGCAGCTACGCGCTGAATCAATTTCATCGGCATGCAATGCACGTGCACTAGCCTACATCTGTTCTACCTTTCACAAACCAAATGGGTTTGCTCAATGCCGTGCACAGCCTACTTCTCGTAAACACGTTCTCTGCGCCGGTCCAACTTATCCTTGTTTGCCAGTAACTACATTCGCTTCCCACAGAGGTTACTTGTCATATCTTCCTACGAACCTCTGTTCTAATATGGCCATATTTCCCGGTTCTCGTAAAATCCCCTAGCGACAAAAGATCGCAACACGAATTATCTCCCTTCTTTCTATCCAATCAGAACACGTGTTACATCGACTTAGATTCAACTTGACTAACACAAGCAAATGTGGGGCCACAAATATCCCCCATCTGCCGGGGACTTGTGTTGATGCTACACACAAGACGTTTAATGGCTAGCTTGTCCGTTGTCAACGAGGGTGATGGAGACGCCACTGATCCGCCATAACATGACTGAGTTCTGTCTAGAAGAAACGTTTGCGCATCGCGCAGGGGAAGAAGTTTAGTTTTCGCGAAGCATACGGAAATTACCGAGGCCTTGCGAATGATCACTTTTGAAACGTCGCTGATTGCACAACTAAATCTGATTGCCTCCAATCACGAGTCTTGAACGCTCACACCATGAAAGGGCCGTATTAGAAGAGAGGTTACGTAGGAAGATATGACAAGTAAGCTCTGTGGGAAGAGAATGCAGTAACTAGTGCATTACAATATTTTTACTGTAGCAGCCCTACCTCTGGGAAATCATCAGCATTGAATCCTGAAGCATCCAGCCGTGGCCCCTGGTCCTGGTTGGTGGCCGTGTTGATGCCGCTGTCCTGGGAAGTGTTGGGTTGACCCGGCTGGAACATGTCCTCGATGTTGAAGGAGCTGGCATTGAGAGGCACCTGCTGGGAGATGGTGTCGCTGAACCGCATTGACTGACCCACAGGGGCTAGGAAGCGGGACTGCAGCCTGGAGTCTTCCATGTCATTCCTCAGTGTAGAGGCCTGAAAAACGGGTCAACACAACAATCCTCATTGAGCTTAAAGTGACACTCGGTGCAACAGTCTGGTGCCATTGTTCAAAACAATCACTATGCAAAGATTCTAATAAGTCTATGTTAAGGTAAGGGAAATATGATCACCTTAGCATCGAGATCATTTTTCACCAGGGCAGTGTGAAGAAAAGTTATCCTGACAATGACAGGGTCACTCTTACAGTGCATAAATCCACAACACTGTGTACTGTTGCTTGGTCAATGGATCAGTTTACTAATTGTTTACTTCCATAGCAATCCAGGTAGTAAACAATCAAAGCAAGCACTTTTTCCATTTTATTCTATAACAGTTAGCAACAAATGTGTTTATAGGTGATACCAGGTTTAGTAACTTTGCTGATGGGCAAAGCTGTAGCCCAAGCAACTATCAGACTGATGTAGAATTTCACCAAGCAACCATCTACAGGGTTCGAAATACCCCATATATTAGTGTGCCATGGCATGGTAAATATTGAAATGGCACGGATAAAAGATGTTCTCGGTGCCCTTTCGACACGCCTAATATTTTTTTAGAAACATAACTCACATTTAGTCATTTAATCCCCAAAGCAATTATTTTTTTCCAAATTGAATAATACCATACATATTTGAATGCTCATAAACCCATTTCTTTATTTAACAATAAATTTCAAATGATTATCATCATTGTTAATTATTCTAAAAACGTGGGCATACTCGATTTCTGAAAGGCACACATAAAATATTTGTCTGGTGCCCTAAGGCACACTTAGAAAAAATAGTATTTCTATCCCTGATCTAATCCACTGTAAGTGCTTGCTAACTGTACCTGATCTGAGACCTGAGTCATGCATCAGTGCCTGACTAAGAGACCTACCAGGTAGTTCTGGCCATCCTCCATTGTCGAGAATCTGTCAATGCCAGCTACAGAGTTGTTGTCACCATTAGTGGAAGCAAACTCGTCTCTGGAAAGCAGGTCATCTCCCATCGGTCGCACTCTTGCCTCCTGAAATGTCAGTATATTACAATCCCAGCAGGTGAGTTGAGTGAGTGAGTTTAGTTTTACGTCGCACTCAGCAATATTCCAGCTATATGGCGGCAGTCTGTAAATAATCAAGTCTGGACCAGACAATCCAGTGATCAACAGCTAGAAATGGGCTTCACCTATTGGTTTCAAACAGAGAGCATGTTCTTTTCCAATCTAAACATAAATAGATTTTCTATTTATCCAAGCAGCTCTTAAGTATAAATAAGCCGGCTGCCATTTTTACTCAGAGTACAGTAGTATAGTCTTGCTATCTCACAATCACCTTATAAAGGCTGCTACTTTCATGTGAGACCTGACAACTTTTACATTATCAGTATGACAAGGATCACTTGGATATCTTTTTGTTGATCAGGGATCAAATGAGCTAGTTACCTCTGGAAATGCATCTCCCTGGTCAAACTGCTGCCTGTAGACCTGACCATGTGCAAACCTATGAAGCAGGGAGTGGTTCTGCTGGGATCCAACTTGTCCATCACTGGAACAATTAAACATTGAGTCAGTACAGTTGTACTCCTGTCTCTTCTCCAATCACATCGTGGCCACCTGGGCTTGTTTCACAAAGCTATTGTAGCATATCACTTTCTTTGGAAAGATATGCCTATTCTTAAACCACTCTAACCACTCGCCTACCAAATTGACAGGTTATCTGACTGACTGAGTGAGTTTGGTTTTACGCCGCTTTTAGCAATATTCCAGCAACATCAAGGCGGGGAACACCAGAAATGGGCTTCACACATTGTACCCATGTGGGGATTCAAACCCGGGTCTTCGGCGTGACGAGCAAACGCTTTAACCCTTAGGCTACCCCACCGTCCCCACAGGTTATCTGAGTGTGCATGAATACTATTGTTTTCCAGTGAAAACTTCCTTACTACAATAGCGTACTAATGTGGACACCAAACCAGCAACTGCTATTACACTTCTACATACTAACTGACAGTAATTATGAATGCATGGGACTAGTGAAAATGTAATTCCTAATCAAAGGTAAGATTACCTTTCTGAGCCGCTACTACCATCCCCACCCCCTCCTCCATCCCCCGGGACTGGGGAGGAAACCACGTCCCCTTCGGCAGACTGTCTCAACATCATGGAGAACTGGCTCCTCTCATCCTGCTGCCCCTCCAGGCCAGGACGGGGCACCTGCCTAGCACGTGGGTCTTCCTCATCCAGGGCTAGACTCTGTAGTGAAGTTATACATAGTCAGCGCTAGTTTAGTCAGTCTCTAAGATGTTAAGTTTGTTTAATACATATTTAAATAGCCACTAAACCCAATGCATGTTCAACTGATGTAATATGATCAATTTGTACAGAATCATGGCACAATGTGTCTCATATTGCTTCAACTAATTAATCAGGTTTGAGAAACTATCTGGAAGTTAAACCCACTCTTTCTACTGACTGGGTCATAATGACCCTACTATCTCCCCACCTGTCTGGCTGCCTCCAGTTCATCCTCAGTATCGATCTCACTCCCGTCTCCACTGCGGTACTGCCTCCTCAGCTGGGATAGGGAACTTGGTCCACTGAAGTCTACTGGAACACAGACACTCACTCACTGGACACTGTGACATATCTCTGATTAACTTTTTGTATGAAAAACTCCAGGAACCAGATGGGATATTCATGGTTTGTAAAATTACATGACTAATCAAGAAAATATGTCAACAAATTTACATCTCCAAACAGGATTTGTACTTGGTTAGGTTTATCTTAAAGGTCTAGACGGAGAACTTATGTCCACAATTGTTTGTTTAATTTGTTTATGCTAGACTGCCAAGACATCTTAAAAACCCTGTAAACAATTCCCATCACAAAAAGAAAATCCAGACAAAAATCATAGGGTTTTATATCAATCTATTACATTCAGCAGGTTGGAGGGAAGACCATTATCTTTGATGTTTACATGAAGAAACAAACCAAAGGTCATAATCATTGAGAACCTGAGCCTAGATTTTCGAAGCTCTCTTAGCGCTAAGATAGTCGTAAGTGCCATATATTAACATTAACTTACGACTATCTTAGCGCTAAGATAGCTTCGAAAATCTAGGCCCTGGGTATTAATGGCCATTATCAGTAAGGGGATACAACTCTGGTGTGGCAGGTATGGTTATTTGGTTGGTTGGTTAATGCTGCACTCAGCAATATTCCAGCTATATGGCAGTGGTCTGTAAATAATAGTCTGGAGCAGACAATCCAGTGATCAACATCACGAGCATCGATCTATGCATTTGGGATACGATGATGTGTGTCAACCAAGTCAGTGAGCCTGACCATCCGATTCTGTTAGTCGCCTCTTATGATAAGCATGGTTGCTGAAGACCAATTCTAACACGGATCTTCACGGGTCTCTGGCAGCTATGACTCCTGAGTGTGCCGGTATAATTCATCAAAGGGGCAAGTACCTGCATTACTTTGAGGGCCTGATGTGATCCCAGTGTTATCTGGTCTGTAGCTGCTCTGATGTCTGTAGCTATCTGCACCATCTCCAGTGTTATGCAATGGGGGCACGGGACTTGGGCGGAAATACTTCATGTCAAGGCCTGTAAACAGGTTTTGTTTCAATATAACAACTGCAAAAGATCAGTCTTACACAAGATGACACAATCAAGAAGTAAAAACCAATTGAAAACAAAAACCTGATATTTCCAAAACATGATGATACAACACATTTTCAACATATTTATGCGAAATGATAAAATAGCATCTTATCTGAGTAGCCATACAAACAGTGGAATTCTACTCACCAACAGACATGTCATTGACACTTTTCCTTGAAGACACAAGTATCTCATCTTCCTCAGACTCCTGACCTTCACCTTGACCATGTTCATCATCCTCTTCCAAGGAGGGACTTCCTTCGTTCACCTTTCTCTCCATCTCTAAAAAATCACTCAAGTCTGTCTGACCAAATAAAGAGGGTTTCTTGCTTTCATTGTCTTCATCTGACAAATCTGACACTTCAATGTCGCTGAAGTCTTCATCTAACATCTTCAATTCATCTTCTTCGAACTTGACATCCAGGATGCTCTGTTCCATTTCTGATGTTTCAGCAACCTCAGTTAAGCCTCCCCCGTTAAACAAGCACATGTTAGTTCCTCCTCGTCTTGCAGTAGCTGGTTCTTCACGATCTGTTGGCCTCTTTTTGACAGTGTCAACCACATGGCTCATGCCTATTGGTGGGTCTTTTGAGTATTGTTTCGACCAATCAGCAGAGTCTACAGAGTCTTTGAAAGATCCTGGAAGTGTGGAGGACTGTTTCTCCATGTTGGCTTGGGTCAAGGTCACAGGGAGAAGACTTGCCGACAGATCTGTAAAATCAGTATGGGTGATGATAAATGAGTAATAATTATTGACATGGAAATGTGATAACTCCTGACCAATGGGACCTATTGGGAGCTCATCTCGGCACAAGCTAACGAGGTCGAAAAAAATGAAACAACTAATGGGTCTATCACTCACCTGTCTCACATCATTTGAATATTAATTGCTTGTTTGTTGTTTAACACCCCACTCAGAAAAATATTCCATCTACATGGTGACAGTCTGTAAATAATCCAGTCTGGGGCCAGATAAGTCAGTGATTGAGATCATGAGTAACTATCTACATAATTGGGTGGGTTTTGTTTGTTGGTTTGTTGTTTAACGTCACACTCAGCAATATTCCAGCTATATGGCAGCAGTCTGTAAATAATCCAGTCTGGACCAGACAATCCAGTGATCAACATCATGAGCATCGATCTATGCAATTGGGATACGATGACATGTGTCAACCAAGTCAGCGATCATGACCACCCGATCCCTTTAGTTGCCTCTTATGACAAGCATGGGCTGCTGAAGATCAATTCTAACCCGGATCTTCACGGATCACGTAATTGGGACACAATGACATGCACCAACCAAGTAAGAGCGCCAGACCCCCATCCTGTTTATAGCAAGGAGGGAAGGTGCAAGCCAATACAAACAGTAACAGTTTAAACACACACAGCTAAATCAAGATTACAGTCACTAACAGCCTTAGGGATCCCTTCCCCTCCGAACAAGGAACAGCTAAAAAGACACGATACTACACAAATTAAGTTACCAAAATCATGTTGTCTCAAATGAGTTGGAGAGTTTGAAACAAATTGAAGCAAGCTTGATGCTAAGTCAAGCTTCACTACTGAATGACTTTCAGCCCAGCTTCAGAAAGGATCTTCCAATGAACATGATCAAACATGTTTTTTTTCCTTTGCATGCTCACAACTAACACAACTTTTACAATCACCATGGTTCCAACACACTGCACTGAAACACGATGAAAACATAACATTCATGTTCCTTGATATATTTAGTTACGATCCTATAAATTGTTTCACTTTAAAAATGTTCAGTTTCTATAGGCAAATGCCTTTGGTATTCATCTCCAAACAAGGAATTCCTGTCTGAGGTTATGGTCAATTCAGCCAATCAGAAATTAGTCACTAATAATGTCATTAAAATCAGAAGAAGGTAGAAGCACCTTGAGATTATCTGTACTCAATATTAGATTTTCATTGTGTTTCAGTATATTTTCATATCAGTACTTTCAAACTCATGCATTAGAGCTTAGTGAAAAAGCTTGTGAGTGGAAAGAGATTTTCTGATCCTATTTAATGCACTAAAAGAGGACAAACACATGAATATAATGAGAAGAAATCATCACATTATCCAAGAGTTTATATTCTGTGACAGTTTCTATCATCATGATTGAGTTTGGTTTTATGTGGCTTTTAGCAATATTCCAGCAATATCATGGTGAGGGATACCAGAAATGGGCTTCACACAGTGTACCAATGTGGGGAATCGAACCAGGGTCTTCAGTGTGACAAGCGGACGCTTTAGCCATTAGGCTACCCCAGCGCCCCTCATCATGATTGACTGTAGGAACACACCAAACCAAAGTCTCAAGCAGAAGAGTTACTTCAGATTGGATGATTTAAACTCACAAACAACTGATACCTCTTTGGGACCAGCTGAAAAGTTCAATGTAGGATGAAAAACTGATTTCCTCAACTTGTCCAACATCGAACACAATGATGACACATGTAGAATACACTGGAAGCACCTCATCATACATTATTATGTAAGCATATATTTCCGGCTACCTGATTGGTCTAGAGGCGGTCACGTGACCGTCAACAGAAAAGCATATTGACTCCAACCCAGGTCCGACCAAAAGTCATACTGACTTGAGTTACTACAAAGAGATTTTGACGTCAAGTTATTACGTCATTCTATTGTTTACATGTCACAGTATTGTTGACATAACGTTATTGGTTTGTAGCAAAAATAAATTTCTTTTCTTGACTAAATGGACATGTTTTGGTGTTTAGAAGCTTTTTTTGGTAATTACATAATAAAACACTTATGGACTGGTGAATTTGGTCAATACCTGTTTTATGGACCCGCAAAAAGCAATATTGACCTCGGACTTCACTTCGTCCTCGGTCAATACTGCTTTTCGCAGGTCCATAAAAACAGGTATTGACCTCATCACCAGTCTATAATTGTATAATAATACATACTGTGTCATGCAGCAGCATTCCTGTCTCTAGTCTGGTAAACATCAACAATCTAATCTCAGTACCAGTTCGAAACAGAGGTTCCATGCTCAGGAGTTTTGATAATCATGATAATCATAATAATGAAAGACATGCTGACATTCCAAGATGACAAAGGAACAATAACAAGGAACTACCAACATGACAGAACATGACCAACAGAATAGCTCTACATGGTTCAAGCATCGGTCTCAAACTTCAGACAAACGATGAATCAATACTTACCCATGGGTAATAACTCATAGTCTGGGAAATTTTAAATACCGAGTTATAAACATCATATAACATATGTAATAAGAGTGTAACTACAAATATCAATGTATTCTGTGTTCGCACCATACTGAGTAACATTTAAATTTGCTGATGGGATTGTCAATAATGAGCACATGATTAGTTTCAATAGTTGCAATTTGTAAAGAAAAGACGCATTACTCATGAAATTCATGACTCTGTCAAACATAAAATGAGTTAATTCCCTTTGTTTTGAGCAGTAAACTGTATGCTCCCCAGGAAGTTGAGACTGACAATACGATGTGCCGTTGAGATTGACATCCAGTGAACGAGGGAAAAATGAGTTATTTCCCTTTGTTTGGAGCAGTAAAAAGGAAGAAAATGGAGGGATGGAAGCATTTTCCCCCTTTTCAATGAGTGAGTCAGTTTGGCTTTACGATGCTTTTATTCCAGCAATATCAGAGCGGGGGGACACCAGAAACAGGCTTCACACATTGCACCCATGTGGGGAACCAAACCTGGGTCTTCGGCATGATGAGCAAACACTTTAACCACTAGACTACCCCACCGCCCCTTTTTCCTTTCCAATTACATTGATTGTCACAATTGTTATTCCTGAAAATATGATTAATACTATTGCAGTTGTGCGAGCTTTTTATATGTTATGACAGTAGATTACTGATTTAACTGTTTATATAATTTCATTTGTCTATTTCACCACACGTTCTTCTTACCAAGTCACTTTCTCAGTTCGATACTTAAAAGCAATGTCATTATTTAGCAGACAGAATTTCTAACTGAGATATAGATATGTCGTTGTCACAGACAAAACTCAGTGTCTGTTTTATTGACACCTATGTGTCTGCCTGCCTGTCTGCTAATGACAATATTCAATACACAACTTCGATCACTGACCACATGCAATTTGAACTTAACACCTATCAGGCTAAACACCATAAACAAAACGCATTGATTTATGGCCCGAGTTCGGTCTCTGTCACATTATGTTATTACACAGACAGGCAGATGTGATACTTGTACACATGACATGTTATGATGTCAAAATTGATCGCAAAATGTTATACACAACAAATGAGCATGTATTTACAAAACCCAACATCTCTATATATACACACACAATGAGCCGTGAGGGCACGTCGGCAAATGAACCAGCCGTTACACTTGAGAGCACACCCACCCGCTCTGACTGGGTTCTGTATCCCGGCTGCTTCGTTTCTAGGGAAGTAAACCCAAGTACAAAATATTGCACTTTTGATTTGCGATTGTACGCTTATAATTTTGTTTATATGTTTTTTTCAAAATCAGCAGTGTGTATTATATGTCATGAATAAGTGATAATTGTGTTTTAATTATGTTTGACTTTTTGGTTGCATGTGACCTTTAAGAAAGAGATGATAATTTTCAATTCCTTGGATAGAAGCAGTGTTCAATGAATTCACTAAATTGGAACAACCCTGTCAATTACAAAATGGACATGGTATATATCCAAACTGTACATGTGAACTTTCCAAACAATCTGACACCACAAACATAGTCATATGTTACAGTCAACAAGCTTAGCACTAAATTTCACATTCAGTTCAGCCTTTGGTTACCATGGTGACATGCAAATGCAAGGTTCAAAGACTGTCAAACAGATTACATACCGTTCAGAGCTTCTACAGGCAGAATTCCTAAGGAGGACCTTGCACTCAAATTGCCATGATATTCGTCAGAGTCTTCGTTTCTGTAAGAAGCACATATATGAAATTTTTAGAGTAAAATTAATAGTTTTATACTTATCCTGACTCATGCTTATTGCTTGTCTTCTTCTTCTTGTGAACCTAGTGGAACACATGTATCTCCCAATTGAAGTTCCTTCAATAAAAATCACTCATTAGTACTCACCACGAGTAACCTCCCTTTCCACAAGCTTGAACGCAGGGAGAGCCACCTGCACCCATGTGCCTCACTCTCTCCTTTTTGTTTTGAGCCAGACACTTCCGAAGAAATCCAAAGTGTTTAGTGGGGAGGACGGGAGGGCTGACCTCATGAGTCAGGATAAGTATAAAATATTAATTTTACTCTAAAAATTTCATATTTTTCCTTATCCTGACTCATGCTTATTGCTTGTAGAATCCCATGGAACAGGAGGTGGGATTATATATACTTTGGATTTTAATAATTAGTGATTTTGAACTGAGATGATTGTAATAACCCTATGGGAACTTCATAAAGGCACTGAACTGAAGAATTCCTGCTGTTAACTTATCAGCTGCCATATAAAGGTTATTACAAATTTAGTGAAGATAATAAAGTATATACAACATTAAGGTAAACTGAAGCCATTAATGTGATAGTATAAACTTCTGAGAGTTTATAGTGAATACTTTTATAATGAACCAAAGTATTAAGCTTACAATATGCATATATATAAGCTATAATAGTACTGTGCTTAAGAAATAATATAACTTAAGCTGTATAATAGTAACCAACTACTTAGAGTTTGTTAACTAATACATGTTATGAATTGCACATATGACTGAGCTTAAGGATTGATAACTTGCTGAACATATATATAATAGCAGAACTCCTAGGAGTTGAAAGCATATATATACAGTGAAGCCCGTTAGTCCGACTCCGATAATCCGAAGTCTCAGCCCCGGCCGATATCAGCTTGTTACCAATCTATGCCTATATAATTTGCCTCGATAATCCGGAAATTCGGGTTTCCGAACCGGACGGTAAGTAGCTGTCACCAATCAGTAAAATAAACAGTAAATTGCTTCACAGTCCGACGCTGTAAGTCGTGTTCATTTAACCAGTAACAACACCGCGCCGGGCGATGTTTACTTAATTAACTGGCCAACTGGGTTGTTGTTTTAATTAGACATAAAAGCTCCGACTGAAGATACTGTACATTTACACTTTGATTGACACCACAATACAAAGGCGTGGATGACAAGTTAACTGTTTTGTGATTGGTAAATGTACTTTGACAGACAGATCCGTCACGTGGACTAAAAAGTGATTTTGCTTTTACGACAATGCTGCAAGTCACAAGTGTGCTAGCCGCTAACTTTGCTTAAATGTGACCAAATACCACGCCTCATATTCAACCGATGGATGCAGGAATAATTCGGACATTCAAGGCATACTACAATAGATCGCTTGTTAGACATTACCTCACCTGTGCTGAGGAAGGGCGTGATCAGACACGTCAGATCAACATCACGGATGTCACTCGGTAAAATTATTGATGTGATGAATTAAGCTTTACATTAAATGCTTATTTGTTTTATCCAGATTCGGTCGCGTTTTTGTAATTCTTAGGGAAGCAACTTGGGTCTTGATTCAGTAGTCCGGACTATTCGCTAATCCGGACGAATTTACTGAGAAACGAACCGTCCGGATTAACGAGGCTTCACTGTAGTATGATATAGAATCATAGTACTGAGCTTAAGATAATAAATTGAACTTAAGCAACAATATATAGATAGCATGTAGCTATTAGTACTGTTATCAGATAAGTATAAATCTGTAAGATAAACTTATCTTCTCCGTTGAACTGTCAACTGTTGAGCGAGGACCATGGGACCGAAATGGTGGATACCTGAGACATCCTTGGTGGTGATATCTCAGATAGTGGTTGGCAAACACCATATCGGATCTCCAAAAACATCCCTCCATAATGGTATTCAACGAAAGCAATTTCCATGTAGAAGCGAGAGTTGAGGCTAAGCGCTCTAATTTCGTGAGGATTAGAAGCTCTTGGAGGGTCGAGTTCTGCAGCCTTGTAGGCTCGTGAGTATGACAGTTCTGATCCAAATAGAAATCGTGCTGCGACACTTCTGGTAGTATGCGACACTTCTGTCCGCAAAGCGGTGGATATAAGGATAAACAATCTTTTGAATTTCCCTCTACTTTTCTTGGATCGTTGGAGATATATTTTCAGTGCATTACAGGGCAAAGTGATTGGTCCATCGTATCATGCGGTCCAAGTATGGATGAGAGAGCTGGGACATGGAACAACCTGTCTGGTTGACCTGGCAGTTGATTTTTGCTACAAAATCCCAGCGGAGTCCCAGATGGCGATGTTATGAGTATCATCAAAGCGTGTTCTCTACGTAATCCAAAGCGTGAATCTCAGACATCCTGGCGGCAGTAGCTAATGCTAACAGGAATAAGGTCTTGTGGGTCCAGTGATTCAAAAGCGAAGCAGATAACAATAGCTCATAAGCCCTCACTTTCGTGAGGTGTTGGAGTACTATATTTAGATCCCAGGCTGGAGCTTGAAACTTCCGTTTCTGATCTTCCAATCGAACGCTTCGTAACAAAGCCGAGTAACTCCGGTGTTTTGGTCAACTTGGCGCCCGTTCTCATAGTTATGACAGAACTTAAGGCTGCAAGATAAGTGGACAAGGTTGAGCCTTTTAGATTCTTAGTTTGCGTAGATAACATAAGAAATCTGCCACTTGAGGATGTGTAGCATATCTGGCTGTAAATCCTTTCTTAGCAGCGTAATTGACAAAGCTGTGCCATTTGTCATCGTACAAGTTCACGAGTTGAGTTCACGTAGTGCAAAGCGTGACCGCTTTAGCAGCTCTGGCAGAATACCCTCTCTTATTCAAACATGCCTTGATACAATCCACACGTGAAGTTGGTATGCTTCTGGTGTCTTGTGCACTTGTTGGGTGTCTTGGATGTATCAATAGATTGGTGCGCAGTGGTAGCTGAAGTACTGGTTTTCCAATTCCTAGCATGAGATCTGGAAACCACGTTCTCCAAGGCCAGTATGGTGGAACCAAAATGAGATCGAGGCTCTTCGTTTGACTGATTTTCTGTAAGACTTGTGGGATTAACGCAGGAGGCGGAAAGCGTCTGGCGTTGAGTCCCTCCCACGATATGCTTAGTGCGTCCGTTGCCCATGCTAGTGGGTCTGGCACTGGCGATACGAAGGTTGTCAGTTGTTTGTTGAATCGAGTGGCAAATAGGTCTATCAATGGAGATCCTATTTCCATGATTATTTGATTGAATATCTATGTGTGGAGCATCCATTCTGTCGTGACAGTTGGTGTGGCCGAGAGAGAGGCGTCTGCTAAAACATTCTTTGCTCCTGGAATGTGGCAAGCTCTGACATGTATGTTTAGATTGTCGACTAAATCCGAACAGTCTGAAACAATGATTGAGTAGATTCAGTGATCTTGTTGAACCTTGTTTGTTCACATAAAACGCCACTGTTGAATTGTCTGTGTGAATCATCAACTGAGCGTTCTGTAGTAGGTTGCTCCAGTGACTTATGGCGTTTATGACTGCTTGCATCTCTAGCAGATTTATGTGACATTTGCTCTCTTGCTTGCTCCATAGGCCTGACGCTGTCCTGCCGGCAAGGTGGGCTCCCCAACCTTTTAGTGACGCGTCTCGTGAGAGATGTAATTTTCGATTCGGCTCTACTAAGGAGGCGCCTGCATAAACATTCAATCTCTTGGTCCACCAGAGTAGATGTGGTTTCACGTAATCTGGTAGACTGAGCGGTAGAGGGTCCTCGAGATGAGCATTGATGAGGACTTGTAATGGACGCATAGTGAAGCCTGCCTCTGAGTGTCAAGTCTTGAGCTGATGTGAGTAGTCCCAATGGAGGCTCTGCCACTGTCGTAGAGTGGTAACGGAGAGAGTATGATCTATTAGCCATGACTGAGATTTGTTTCTGAGATTTATCTGCCTTCCGTCTAAAAGCGGAACATAAATATTTATCAAAGGCAGAAATTGCATATATATATTACTAAGCTTCCAGTACTTTCATTTTGCCAGAATAGTGCTGTAAATACTAAAGTCCAGTACTTTCCTTTTGCCACTGTAAATACATAATTATAATAATACTTACATTCATTAGCACTCAATTACATAGTAGATGAGCCAACATTATTTAATGAAAATCAAATACTTGTGAGTATTTTCATGACTTCAAAATTATCATTTAAAACAATAAATTAAACCCGGTTAACCCATACTATTTTCACCAGATACAACCACCAACACATATTTTATCCATAAGAAGCTGTGGTATTACAAGACAAACCTGTCAGTTTCATGTTTGGTTTTGGAAAATTCAATGAGATTGACCGATTGCTTGGTCAAGCCTTGGCTCTGGTTTCCCCCTGGCTGGTCAAAACCACTGAAGGAGAGTTTCATCCCTGGGTATTCATCCCTGGGTGTGTTTACAAGGGACGTCTCAGAGGATGTTAAGAAAGATCCACGTGGATCTACAATTGATAGTTCTTTAAACCTGCAACAAATGCATTACATCTGGTGTTACTTCTGTAGGTCATGGACTCAATTTAGACCAGTGGTCCCTGAGACATAAGTAGTTCTTGCTCATAAAGAGAAGAAAAACAGTCTTCCACTAGTTTCAGGGACTATGAGTCTAATGAGATTATTAGTATTCGCATCCAAACCTGAAATACTAGTAATAACCAAACCAAATACTAGTAATCACGATATCGAGTGCAAAAGACAATATAATAATGCGAGATTTATTAATGCGCTTCAGATATAGTCGCATTTTTCACATTAATAAGTAGCTCGCATTATTTTATTGATTTACAGTAATAACACCATTCTTCCTTCATCAACAATGAGCAAAATAAATTAATCATAATAATAGTGAGTTTAGATTTACGCCACTTACAGCAATATTTCAGCAATATCACCATTGATCATGGTGCGGACACCAGAAATGGGCTTCACACATTGTGCGCATGTGGAGAACCGAACCCTGGTCTTCGGCATGATGAGCAAATGCTTTAACCACTAGGCTACCCAACCGCCCCAGCATAATAATATTGAAAACCCTAACATTCAAACTTATGAATGACGTCTCTCCAAAGTCAAACTTTGATGACCTCACATGATTTACACACTGATCTACACAAAAACAAATTTAGTACATGACATGATCTACACTAAAACAAATTAGTACATCTTATAACATTAACATTTGTCATCACATTATGGAAACCTAAACAGGTAAGATATATGAAAAAATATGCACTAATTTTAAATTAACACCTGTATTTACCATCTTTCAGCCTGTTCAGGAAATTCATGTTCAGCAAAAGATATTGAAATCATCCTGAAAGTTCTATCAGAACTATACAACCATGTCAAGCCTTACCTTTGTTGATCTCTGGCTACAGTGGAAGCTGCAACAGGAGCTGGGGGAGCTCCTAGTGTCTGGTTGTCAATGGACTGACGCATTCCCTGGGCAGCAACCATGCTGAAATCTTCCCCAAGGTATAGGGAGTCCTGGGAATCCATTTTTATTTTTCTCTGTAACCTGTTTATACAAATCTACATTTATTGCAAACATTTACAGAAATCATTTATTAAAGGTGTTGTGGGATGTATTTCAAATATGGATAAACTGTTAAAAGAGTTGAAAATACCAGTGAACTACATTTCCAAAAGAAATCTTTACTCGTAATCCCGGAGCACCTTTAGAATACAGCACCACAACTTCTCGTGAGGACGATCTCTGCTGTAGGTCACGTGTCATTAAGACAAGCAACCAGTTTGTGAGAACCCGCCGGACGCGAACCCGGAACCTTCGGATTGTTAGCTCGACAGCTAACCGACTGAGCTACGTCCACACTGTTGCACAATGTGCAAATTTATCGAGTCATTCCTGTGACGTCACGGAAAGAACGGAAAGAGTTGAATAGGTCACGGACAATTACGAAGGTTATGGGTAGACTTGGTATCTCGTGATTTTTATCTACGAACAATTGCCGAATGGATCCGATGCCATTTGGCACACTCGTCCCATTCCGTAATCTGCAAGATAACGTGTGGCGTGGAATGAGCCGATATGCCTTAAACTGAAAAGGTTGTTGACGTCAGGCGTCAGACGTAGATTTCATGGTGCATGCATGAATGCCGCGCTTTTATATAAATCTGTGATTTTGTGACAGAAAAGTGATGTAGGGAACACTGTAAGGATAATGTGGATCGCACTAAGGACCGAGGGAGACATGAGCATGTGTAGTGAGGGCATGAGGGTGAGTTAGCCTTCGAATCATTACTGAACAAAATTTATGTTGCGTGTGAAAGAGGCTTGAGTGCAAATTCCAGGCCAATTTCCATTAGCCCAAAATTTCTACATTAAACCATTTCATAATGTATTTTCAACGTTTTTGGTTTCCCGTTTTTGTGTGAAAAAAGTATTAAATGCAAAAAGGAAAAACAACAAATGGTATTCACGTATTACACCGGACATGTAACTACTATATTGGATTAGGTCCCTAACTCTAACCCCTCAGCCCTAACCCCTTGAAATAATCCTAATAAATAGAATGCATCGACCGAACCGGCACAAACATGACTGACGTGTCCAGTAATATGTATTTTTACCACTTCGAAAAATAAAAATACTAATAATAAACGTTTTTATGTAATGGTGCAAATTACTGAATGAAAAAATATATATATGTATGTCAGTTCACATTGGTAAATCATTTAGACTTATAGTTACTTAGAAACCGAAATATAAAATATATTTACATAATTTAAATAATAACATTGACCAAAATTGCGAATAATCGAATATATATAATATAGACTGGTGTAACGCATTCTCGCTAAATTTAAAAAATACAAAATACAATAATACACAAAACATAACACCTCAGCACCCGTAATACAAATAAATATGAGTGTATTAGTGAAAAAGAAAAATATTTCAAACTGGTGCTTGCAAAAAATTGCGCATCCGCCAGTATACAACTACTGGAAACTCTCAACATTGTTGGGCTTATGCAATGACATAGCTTGTAGAGATGAAACACCAGTGAGCAGAGCTTATACGCACTCGCAGAGCTAGACTACCGTGTTGCCATGCAGGCGTCATAGGGCATTGTTTCAAGAATGTGCTTTCGAACAAAATCACATTACATTACGTAAAAGGGTATTATGACGTATTTTTAAAGTTTGTGGTGCTGTATTTTAAAGGTTTTTATTGTTTTTTGTTTAAAGCAACCAAGCTCTACCAGTACACATAAGACTGTTTGATAATTACAGCTAGGGTTTACAACTTTATCGCTGTAGTTATGGGGTAGTGGGCAACAGCTTGACCCTAAGGGAGGTCAAAGGTGAAACAATCTGTTAGCCAGTGCAGTGTTCACGAATCAAAGTCACAGGACATTGGGTCCTGTAATTTCAAAACGTTTGAAAATGCTCAGGACCCACTGGAATAAAATTGAATACACATTTCTGATTTAATATCTTATAATTGACATTGAAATTATTAACAAACATAAGATTTATAAACAGCAAACAAGTGTCAAAGTCACATAAAACAACTTCAGTCACCATACACTGGGGCGGCGGGTTGTAAACTTCTGTCTGACCAAAATGTCTATTCGTGAACACTGCAGTGATTTATAATCAAAACGTTTCTAACATCAAAACGCTTTTTACATAAATAAAACAAAAGTAATGTCACCATACATGTGGACCCTATCAAGATGTCTATTTGCATTTCAATGTGGAGGCATTTCAGCTGAGGCTCGCTGGCACTGACAAATGTAACCTAACGATTGATTGAAAGTACCAAAGTGAAGAAACTGAAGTTACAACATTCGGCCCAAACATTAAATTTAAAGCCAAAACTAATCCCTTGAGCATACTGGGTTATGATGGCGAAATCACGGGATATCAGTGTAGATGAGTCAACACATCCGCCCTCGGTTAGCAGCATTCTTGTTAACATCACTCGAGTGAACAATTCCCTACAATACATGTTTTGATAAATTCTCGAATTTCGCGGTACGTGATCGCTGGTGACTCACGATGTTTTGTTTTTGTCACTCACGGGCAGAGCAAAATGTTCACTTTCACTTCGACGAAAGAGGTTACTTGAATCTGCATGCAATAGCATTTCTAACGCATACTGACCATCAAGCGTAATTCATTGACACGATGAAGTTGGCAAATATCAACTATTTTGAAAATCCGCCATTTTGCAGCAAAATGACACTACGTCAGGGCACGCAGAATTCTTCTAACGTGATTGGCTGAATTTCTCAAAGCTCCTCGCAACATTCCTTATAGTGGTGGCAATGTAGAGAGTCTGCCTGCGCTGCACCACCAATACAAATAAAAGTTCAACAGCGCACTCCTGAAGGGACATTTTCGTAATCAAAAGTAAAAATAGAAATCTCGTAATAACGACTTATAATCTCGTAAAAACGCCTTCAAATCTCGTTATAACGACTAATAAACTCGTAATAACGACTTATAATCACGTAATAACGATGTTTAGATCTCGTTATTAACGACTTTAAATCTCGTTATAACGAATTTAATTTTTTTGTTAAAACGACTTTTGGTGGCCTTCACCTACTTCTGAATTGTGTCTACTGCATGGACTGCTTGAACATAGAGCTCATGGTTTGGAACGACTTGATGAGCATCTGGTCTTATCCTGCGTAGCATCCCTACTTCCCTTCCCGATACCTCTATCTGATGAAGGAAGGAATCAGATAAGAATGCTTGGGGAAGTGCCGTTCTACCGGATAATGTCGACAGCTGACCTTGTTTGTGAACATATCATCAAGCCAAGTCTGACAAGAATACTGACTTCTTGTCGGGAAACAAGAGTCTTAAAACAAGTGTAGTGTATATATGCGGTGATGTGGATTATTAATATCACCACCAGCAGTAACTTGTAGATCTGATCCAGTTCTAATACATCACTAGGACAAGGAAATGTTCCTGTTATGTGGATGGATGTGAATGAGCTGAGTGAGTGAGTGAGTGAGTGACTGAGCAGGGTAGAGCGGAGCCGTGTGAGTATACGATAATGAATGAGTGAGCGTACGATAGTGAATGAGTGGCTGAGCCGAGTGGAACAGATTGAGTGTGTGAGTGAGTGAGAGCTAGATAGTGAGTGAGTGATAGTGAATGAGTGAGTGAGTATGTTTTTACGCTGCTTTTAGCAATATCCCAGCAATATTACGCGGGAGACACCAGAAATGGGCTTCACATATAGTCCCCATTTGGGTAATCGAACGCGTGTCTTCAGCGAGATGAGAGGATGCTTTAACCATTAGGCTACCCGGGGTCTTCCCACTTGTCCGGCACATTGTTTAAAGGTTCTAGATCAGTGGAGCGCGATAATCCCTGAGAACAAAAGGTGAACTTCTTATTTTGCTCCCCTGTCGGTCTGTGATATTTGGTCACCCAATATTTAATGATGACTTTAAGTACAAAAAGGAAAATAATCTCACACAGTTACACAATTATTTTACACATTTCATGATCAACAAACTTTGCACAACCATTCACCCATAACTCTTAATCCCCTCAGCCTGCCGGACAAGCGGGAATAACCCGGCTACCCCACTGCCCATGAGTGAGTGAGTGGATGACAGCGAGTGTGTGAAAGTGTGGGTGAGCGAGTGAGTGAGTGACCCTAGTTGCCATAGCAGCCATATGACTTCTTGAACAAGCGGACAAAATTTAAGCTGAAGTACCAGGTAAAACATGCACAGTGACTGCTTGCTATAACTTGGCCATTGTGATAATGAAATAATATGGCCTCTTATACAGAGCACTAACCTTCACACATAAATATACTCAGGATTTGCTAAAGTCAGTACACATAACTATACCGGTCTTTTATTAATCATGATGAGATACACAGAGATAAAAAGCAAATACATAAAACGGAAATTAGTTCAGAAAGGGAAGAAAGGTGGCATTTGTGTTTAGTTTCAAAATATGTACTATGTTCACATTATGTCAGGGAAGCACATTTCAGCCAGGCTACAGATCAAACAAGGGAAGCAAGGATGTTACGCAGGACTCTAAAGAACAGATGCTCATCACGTCGTTCCCAACCATGAACTCTATGTTCAAGCAGTCCATGCAGAAGACCCAATTCAGAAGTAGATGAAGGCCACCAAAAGTCGTTATAACGAGATTTAAAAGTCGTTATTACGAGTGTTTGAAAAGTTGTTATAACGAGATCTAAAAGTCGTTATAACGAGTTTTAAAGTCGTTATTACGAGATTATTTTACTATTTTTGGTTACGCAAATGTCCCTTCAGGAGCTTCGTATTAGTTTGACATATAGGAAAGAAATAATAATCTGATGGCGAAGTTTAACCAATCTCAGTACTATTATACAACTTATTCATGTATTGCCTCACCAATAACCATTTCACCCAATAACATAAATAGACATTCCTTATGATTGTGAAAAGGGAAAGATTTCCGCCCGTAACCCTTGTTTTTATCGTTCTGTGCCTAAGATTAGATGTTTTTTTATGAAATACCTTAGCCCTAGCCCTAACCCTAAACCCTGAAACCCCAAACCTTAAACCATAAACCCTCGAAATAATCATAATATAAGTACATTTCAAGCGTGGGTTACGGGCGGTACACTTACCGTGAGAAGATTTTTTTCGCTTAGATTTCTGTTCTGTTTTGATTAGTTATTCATTTTTCATCAAGTTATTAATACTACAAAATCTTCTCACGGGGACTCAATAATGAAAACAGTTTAATAGTCAGTGTTAGTTAGAGCCTAGATACACCGTGTACTTTGAAATATTACATAAGGAGCGAATACTGGTGATTGGTATTTCCTGCTCTATAACCACATTGAACTGCGCGTGACTTGGGTTTTTCACCATTCCAGTAATATCACGACGTTGGACACAGGAAAAGAACTTCACGTGTTATACCTATGTGCGTAATCGAACCCGGGTCTTCGGCATGACGAGAGAACGCTTTAACCTCCTGGCTATGCCTTTGTATGTCTGCCTGCATGCATGCATAGTTTTCTTGTAACCAAAGATCGAATGTCTTTATTACATTAATAATTACACTACTCGAATTTTGTTTCTTTAAATGACGTCACCCAATCCCCAATAAGAGATATATTGTATAGTTTAACCCACTCACCCTTCTTAAAATCACGCACCTGCTTCCCAAAACCTGCTGTTCAATTTAAGTTGGAAGCGCTTGTAAAATACCTAACAATATCCCACCTCAAATACATCAGATGAAATGATACCGTTCAATCATACCGGACCCCCCGTTAACTGACTCTGAGACACTGGTAGTCTTGATATTCTATAAGCAATCAAAGTCAAACCTACACTCTAAATCTAAATGTTCTAGTTCTGAACACTATGAGAACACCCTTCCTATAACAGATTTAGAACGCAGTCAGAGTGTTCTGATTTAGACACTATGTGTTCTGATTTCAGAACACTAGTGTTCCACTTACAGAACGCTCGTGTTCTAGATTTCAGAACACTCTTTGTGTGTTCTGTATGTGTTCAATTCAGAACACCCTCGGACGCCTCGGACGCTGTAACAGATTTAGAACGCCCTTTGAGTGTTCTGAGCTTTATTTCAGAACACTAGTGTTTTCACACTTCCATCAGCCTAACATGAACGAATAAAAACCACAACAATATGAAATGATTCAAAACTTTATTAACACCAATACTGAATACGAAAATGTGTTATTATCCTTTTGTTAGACTAAATGGAGTGTAGGAGAAGAAGCTAACTTGAACTGCAACAACTCATTCGTGCACATCTTATAACATATGCAGTTAAAGTTTCACATCGTTGAAGAAAACACTGAAAAAGAGCTCCTATATCTCAGGGTCGGGCAAGGATGAGATAACTTCCCCAGTTCTCTGAACCTACAAAAACATCGTGTATGCTCTGGGATAGCTTAAATTGAAAATGTAGTACATCGCCATCAGTTTCAATACCATGGCCATGATGCGACATTCACCTCGCATGACACGGTGTCGGCAGCGATGTGGAGGCCGACCAGAACATCACCTCTGACGAAAGCGACGATTTTTGGACCCTCTGAGGCTTGTCTTCAGAGCCCCGTCAATCTCATCAACGGTCACATCCTACAATAAATAATATACAATTTTACACTAAATAATTCATTTTGAAATATATGATGTGGCATACGCGTGATTTCAAATTTCAACTGAACTCTAATCCATGACACACAATTTGGAATGAAAATACTGTTTTATTTCACCCACAAACAAACATGAAAAACGCTTATCCAACGGTTTTAGTCAATATACAAAACAGGTTCCATTTTGTAAGAATATGCATTCACGTTTGAACATTGTGGAAGAATCTTTGTAACATGCACCTACTTAATGATCAGTTTCCTAACACTACAGGATAGAAAATAATGTAACACATGAATTTTAATATACCACTCACCCTTTTAACTTCTATTAATGACCTCTTTGCGGTCTTGTTGGATTTTCCACCCTGATTGAGTCTTGTTTTGTCTTCGATAAGCTGAATAACAGGCAGCATTTTCATTTTGACCTGTGGCGCCAAACGGCTTTCGGTAGCGTTGGGGAAGAGACAACTGCGCATGCTTATCACGACGTCACTTTGTTAGAACATCAACTGTTCTAATCAGAACACACGCCGTCCGAACAGATACCAAATCAAACCATACAGAACAGATACCGTCCTAACGTGTTCATTTTATCAAATGTAAAGGAACACTATGCGTTCTGATAGTCTACTTTAGAGGTTGCTTATTCAGTTATTTATCAATTGTAAACCACATATAACCAGAATTTACCAAGCTTTTTAGAACATTTTGAGGAATCATTTTCCTCTTGCAAAATACATGTATTTTTATTCTCCTTCTGGAAAGAAAAGGTTAAAGTTAAAATACAGAAATTATTATAAATTCCTTACAACCTTTTTTAAATGTCCGCTTGTATAATGTTCAACATTGTCTTAAAATATCTTAACAGGTTAATGATTATGTCAAAAGTATTTCATTCGTTTTGTATTTACGAAATCACAGTCTTCTGATAACACATTGTGTTCTGAAATTAGAACACCTACCTCACAGACTTTGAACACATGTGTTCTAAAACAGAACACGCCTGTTCTATATATGGCCTATGTGTTCCAATTCAGAACATGCACAGACGCGTCCACTGTTCTGCTTGAA